GACCTTGCTGCGCAGCCTTGCCGTGTGCTTTGTAGACAGTTTTGAAGCACAGTTTTGGAACAAGTGCTGAGATCCCACCTCCCCTCTGCAACCGGGGAACAGGCACAATAGGCTGCAGCCTCCAACACCCCGAGCGGGGGCTCCATCTGTTGCAAGCTGATGCTGGTTCACCACAGCCTTCCCATGTCCGCCTTGCAGAGGTGTCCATCCGTCAGAGCTGGCTCAGAAGCCTCCAGCTGCAGCGTTGCTGTGGATAAGACCGGCTTTAGGCTTGGTTTCAACCTGGCCCGTCTGTTGGGTGATGTCAAAGGTACACTGGCAGGGAAATGCGTGGTTGCTATCCTGGTGATGTTGTACAGGTGTCACTGGAGGGACATAGAGCAGGCAGAGCCCTGGTCCCCTTGCCCGCCCCTGGGCTCTGGTGCTTCTCCCGGTCGGGTGGGCTGGCAGATAATTTCCTTGCCATGCTGGCGAGCACCACCTCTGCCCTCCTGTCTGCCCCATCTTGGCTCAGATGGGAGCCTGAGGGCAAGGCTGGTCCCTTTGTTGTATCGTGGCCTGACACCTAGCAGAGCAGGGCTCTGGGAACGGAGCTTTGCATAGCACTGTCTTCACCAGCGCTGGCGGGAATCAAATTTAAGACATCATTGCATTGTGTAAATTTTACCTGCTGCCTGGAGTTTATTCGGGCTGTCATGTAGAAGCATTAGGACAAGAGTGCTTCACTTGTGCTTCACTTTTTGCTGCCTTCTGCCCACAGCCAACAAAGAGCTTCTGTCTGTGGCGGCTCTGCACGGGGTGTGGGATGTGAAGCCTTGGTTGTAGCTGAGTACCCTGGAACGGGGCTGATAGCCTCTTCTTTTTGCTTCTAAATTCTCCCCTTTTATTCCTCCCACATCAGTGATGGTTACACTTCTTGAGTCCTCCCAGGTAAAAGACAGAAAGAAAGAGATAGAGAGAGATGTTGGGGAAGAAGGAAGCTCCCTTTGAATTTAATCATTTGCAGAGCTCATTGGGTTGAATCATCTTAGCAGGCATAATAAACCTGTTTCATCTCCTGGGTCTGGCAGGGGAATTAAGGCATTTTGTCTTATTCTTGTTGGTGTTCTGAGCTTGCATCATGCAACTGCGTTCCAGCACTGGATGGGTGAGTTTTCAAAATGAACTGCTGTGAACAAATAGGCTTCTTCACCAGTAGCACCAGCGATGATTAGAAGTGAAAGAAACTTAAACAACCAATTTGCTTGTCACAATTTGTTTCTGTTTTGAAGCATTTTTCTTCCTTGCTTTGTCTGCTTCTCAGCCTGTTTACCGAAACTCAATGAAGCTGGGTCATAGTCTGCAGGAAGGACTCAAGCACGATGTTTGGGGGTTGCACCCTGCCATTCCCCCCCTCCTCATCCTGCCCGGGCATCCATGGGGCAGCTGGACCATCCCTTCGAGCTGGGATGAGCTCCGAGGCACCGCGGGGTGCAAGCTTCTCTCCTGGGAACAGAGTTTGTTGGCAGGGAGTGGGAAGGTGTCTGTCAAACACCAGTGTTGTAAAACCTCACTTTTACAACATTTGGTTGATGAAGAACAGGAGATAAATAAATACCCTTTATATCATCTTTTTTGCTCACATTTTGGCCTATTATGTCCCTAATGCATTTATGAAATATGATTCTGGGGACAAGGATAGACTGAAACTTCAATTCTGATAAAATGTCAGTTTTCTTGATGTGGCTTGACTCAAATAATTTATAATACTTAGTGGTCTTTTTGTCACTTACCATTGCTTTTATCACTTCAGATTAAGAGATTCTTAAATACATCTGGGCAAAACAATTACAGGGAGGATCACTTAAAAGGTGACAAGACCCAGTTTGGTTCCAAATCCGAATGAGCAATTTTAAAGTTTCTTTGAAGAAGAGTTGAGACCGTGAGCAATGTTTCAATTTCTTCAGAAGTCCTGTCCAGGGCTGGAAGCTTTTTTCCTGCCAGGTTCGCAGGCTGGCTGCTGCAGGGTCTAGGAGGAGAAATGGATGGCAGGGGACTGAAGGCAGAAGTGCCGCTGGTGCATGAGCTAGGTGGGAAGGAGATGCACCTGAAAATAGCAGCTGGGTTCTTAGGACAGGGTTCATGAAGTGCTCGGTACTGCCATGAAATGGGTCCTGCTGAAAACTTTCTCAGTTTGGGTGGGACCAGACCTAGGTCAGCCATTCACTTGGCAAGCTCTTGCATTGGATTTGTGAGGCTTCTTTCCCATATTCTGAGGCAAAAGGTGAGAACAGAAGCGCTTAAAAAAGGAGAGAACTGTCACTGTCACCTACTTTGAAATCCTGGACATGCTTCCCACCTTGGTTTCCCTATCTGCAAGTGTGCTGCTGGACCTGGGCTGGCATGTCCTGAAGGCAGGCACCTTCGAGCAGGCACCTGAATGAACTCTGCTCCAAGCTGGCTCTGCATCCCAAATCTGCTGCGCACACCAGCTCCCTTCCCTTCCTTTCCCTTCCCGAGGTCTGATCTCTAAAGTAGCTCCATCTCTGTCTCCCCTATGGCCAGCAGCTGATTATTCACTACACAGTTACACTTCTGTTCCACAAACGCGTGCCTCAGGTTGAGGGGACGGGATGAATCCACGCTTGCCCTGATTTTCACATTCCTCACTTGCACACCTCCTCTGCACCCTGTAATCTCAGAGCTCAACAAGCTCCTCTGCATTTTAAAAGAAAAAAAAAAGAGAGAGAGAGAAAGAGCAGCAATGGAGAGAGTAGGAGAGACTATCCAGAGCGCTTCATAAAAATGATGAATTGCTTTTAGATATTGGGCAGGAGAGAAAGAGGGTTCTTTTTTATTTGATATTAGTCTCTTAGTGGTGCATTGTTGCTGTGCATATGAGCTCAAAATCTCAAGGCAGTCAAAGGCAAATGCCCGGGAATTGAAGTGTAAATGAGCCGCTGTCGAGCATTTTATTTTGCCTTTTATGATTTCCCTTTCTCTCATTATGTAGGTCAGTCTATGTTTCTAACGTGTGCTGCGTGCGGAGGGGAGCGCGGGGCCGTGAGGTGTGCGTGGGGTGTGCAGGGGTGTGCAGGGCTGTGCGTGGGGTGTGCAGTCCCTGCCCGGCACTGTGTGAGCTCAGGGCCATCCCCGGGCAGTGGCCACCAGCTCTGGCATCTCCTGCTCTCGCTGTCTCACCTGCAGATCCTTGGGTCTGGAGGTACCGGTGCTCTCCCTCCCTCCCGCCAAGCGAAGAATTTACGTTTCCTACCACATTAGCAATTCAGATGCTGAACTGGTCTGTGCTGGCTGCTCTGATTAGTGGATGAGATAAAGAGATTTGTGCATCTCCTTTAGAGAGACGCTGGCCACGTGATTTGGCCACTTTGCATAAACAGCAGTGAATAAAGCAGCGTGTGCCTGTGGGACGATCTGTCCCAATCTGGGGCAGGTGAGGGATGCTTTCTTCTCCGTTGTGTTGTGGAGGACTCATGAAGGCTTGAGGAAAGGGGCCCTGGGCACAGCGAGGGCTATCCAGAGCCCTGGGGATGCTCATCCGTGTCCATGATGGGGTTGGAGGCACCTCCCTGCTCATGAGCTGGGCCTTGACCTCCCTGCTGTGGTGCAGAGCTGGTGACAGACCTTTCTTGCTCCAGTTCACTCTGGCAATAAGCAGACTGGGAAGCCTGGAGTGAGAAGGGGCGCAGAGGAGGCAAGAGGGCTGACCGTGGGTTTGTTAGCTCCTTTTGGACAAGGGCAGCAGGGCTTAGTCACTCAGGAGAGTGTAAAGCCAATGGGGATGGTCGTGGGGTGCCTGAAGGCCAAAGGGGTGCTGCCTTCCAGGACAACGTCCCTTCAGAGGCAGCTTTCTCTGGGTCACAGGCTTTACCTGTCCATGCTGCCCTTCCCCGCGGCCTCTGGGCTGTCTGCTCCGCGCGGTCCCGGCGTGACGGAGCAGGCACTGAGGTTACCCGTGCCTTTGCTTCATGCCCATGCACCAGGTGCAGGCGGGAGATGGGGGTTCGGGGAGCAGCAGCCCTCAGCTTGGCTGCCTCGTGCCGTTCCCGTGCTGTCCTGGGCAGAGCCTTGTTCTTGGGAGCTTGGCCTTGGGGTGGGCGGCTCTGCCGATGTTGGCATCCCTGGAGAAGGACCCAAGGACCTGGAGAAGACCTGGTTCCTGGCAGGCAGTGAGAAGCAGCACACAGGGATGATGGCATCCTCGCCAGGGAAGGACCTTTGCTGTGCCTAGATGTCGTGGTTTGAGCCCAGAGCACCACGCAGCCACCCACTCACTCCTTAACCCGTCAGGAATGGGAAGGAGAATGTGAAGCAGAAATGACTCAAAAGAATCCATCTAAGGACAGGGAAGGGGCAGCTCACCCATTATGGTCACAGGCAAAAGACAGACTCGGTAGGGGAAGAAAAGAAAACATCACTTTAATTCAAATGCTAACAAAGACAACACTTAACAGACAAGGTGGGACAGGGAGAAGCCGTCTCCCCACGGGATACAGGGGTCTCTGCTCTGGCATAACTCCCCCACATCCTTCTCCTTTCTTCCATTGACCTCAGTGTCTGTCCTTCTCATAACTCCTCCTCACAAGTCCCAATCCCCTCTCAGGTTCCCTTTCTTAAATACGTTATCGCAGAGGTGTAGCCACCATCACTGGTTAGCTCAGCTCTGGCCAGAGGTGGGTCTGACTTGGAGCCGGGGGAGCTTCAAGAAGCTTCTCGCAGGGGCCATCACTGTAGCCCCCTTCCCCGCTACCAAAAAAAACCCCACCTGTGCCACAGAAACCCAGCACAGTAGAGCATCCTCCTCTCGCTGGCACTGGCCTTGCAGTCCTGGTCCCCCGGAGAGCTGCAGCCCTTCCCCGAGCCTGGGTGATGTGAGGAGCTCTGCCAGGGGGGAGAGGGGAGGCACGGGTGGGTGCCTGGACCCGGGTGCTGGTCTGCACCCCTCCCGTTCTTAGGGGAGCAGCCACAGCTCACCTCTGCCTCCGTGTCTGTGCCCGCAGCGTGCCGAGGGATGCTGTGCGGGTTCGGGGCGGTGTGCGAGAGGAGCCCCGCCGACCCTTCGCAGGCCTCCTGCGTCTGCAAGAAGACGGCTTGCCCCGTCGTGGTGGCCCCTGTCTGCGGCTCCGATTATTCCACCTACAGCAACGAGTGTGAGCTGGAGAAGGCCCAGTGCAACCAACAGAGGCGGATCAAAGTCATCAGCAAGGGACCGTGCGGTGAGTGCGAGGGCAGGCTCTCCGGAGGCGACCGTGTGAGGCCAGGGAGGCTTGTCCTGAGCTCCTGTGGTGTGTGCTGGTGAAGTCCTGGGGGATGGAGACAGCCCTGAGGGGAAGGGACACAGAGAGCATCACCAGCTCTGCCTTGGTGATCGTCAAGAGTTCAATAAGCCGGTAATCTGATGGCCAAAGGCAGCCCAGCGACTCCCCAGAGCGGCCACATCTGCCGCGGTTAGACGTTGGAGTTTGGAGGGACCGGGGGTATGCACAGGCTGGGTGGGCTGATGAAAGCCCTTCCCCAGCCTGGCATTCACCAGCTGTGAGCAAGGAGCTGCATAAATGAGACCCCGGTCTCCTCGTCTCCGAGTAAATTAACTTGACCTTTCTCTCATGCGGCGCTCTGGCTTGCAATAAATCTGCACCCGGCGCTCCTGCTGGGGCTCTTGTCAGAGGGGAGAGAGTGCTGAGTGATTTATTTAAAATAATAATCATAAGAAAGTGACAAAAAAAGGCAAAATAAGCTGGCAAATAAATTTTGGCCCTTCCCTGCCAGTGAGGAAATTGCTCCTTGAACTCTTCCTCTAATTGCGGTTTGCAGGAGGTGCTGTAAGGACCCTTGTTTTGCTCGTTTGCTGAAGCAAGAGGCTCTTGGAGAGCATGTGCAGGGAAGGGAGCTCGCAGCAGTGAGGCTGAGAGGTTTAGAGAGGAGGGGCTCTGCCTGAAGTGCCAGGTGGGGAACGAGCTCCTTTCCTCGCGTGCCATGGGTTCGGGGCTGATCCTCCAGCCCCGCCATGCTGCCTGCCTCCGCGGGCACCGGGGCGGGTGAGCTCGCCGCTCAGGACCAGGGCTGTGGCGCTGACGGAAGGACATCCATCGCCACCGCGTGTGGTTTGGGGCACTCGGAGGGTGTGGGGGTTTTTAGGGGGGATATTGTGGTGTGTCGGGTTTCTTTGTCCCGGGAGAGGGGCGCGCGGGTCCGCCGTGCTCACGTCTGTGCCATGCCCCCCTTCCTCTCTCCCGCAGGCTCCAAGGACCCCTGCGCAGAGGTGACCTGCAGCTTCGGCAGCACGTGCGTCCGCTCCCCCGACGGCCAGTCGGCCAAGTGCGTCTGCCCGTTGTCCTGCAGCGGCGTGCCCGAGGGCACGGTGTGCGGCAGCGACGGCAAAGACTACCGCAGCGAGTGCGACCTCAACAAGCACGCCTGCGACAAGCAGGAGAACGTTTTCAAGAAGTTCGACGGCGCCTGCGGTGAGTGTGTGTGTCCCCTCTCCCCCGCTCCGCTCCACCCCGGGGGTATTGCTTTAAAAACACTTCCCACTGTGTCAGGAGCCTTGAGGGCAAGCCAGAGGGAAATGGCGAGGGTTGGGAGAGAAAAACTTTCCCGCACACTTGCTCAAAAACGCAGGCTGGGCAGAAAACAGGTCAGTCTGTGGGTGATGGCTTCTAAAAGCCAGACCAAGCCAGCGCTTCCCCCGCGGCGTTTGTCTGTGGGTGTTTCTGCTCGGGACCCACTGACCTAGTGAGTGGTTACAACATCTGTGCTACCTCCTTTCCCTCCTGCTGTTTCCCCTGGCTGGAGTCCCCCGGCTACTGCTTTTGGCAAGAAGCCGGCTGCTAGCCGGTGTCCTGGGGCTCCCGAGCAGGCAGCTCCCTCTAATTAAAGAAGCCCGACAGGCACAGATCCCAGAGCTCTGACACAGCCCTGCCACTCCGAGGATGGCTTCCTCTTTGGCTGTTGGATACTTGTAATTAAAAGCGACTGTATTCATTAGGAAAACCATGAGATCAGCCAGGACACGTGCCAGACCAGTGTTTGTCCCCGGGGGGAAGGAGTGTGAGAGTGTGTTTGGGCAGGCTGCAAACTTGGAAGAGCTTTAATTGCGCTTTCACTGCTCAGTCCCAAGTAGGGTGAGATGGGTGCAAGTGGGAGGTGCGGAAGAGGTGATGTCACGCTGGGTGCTCCAGGTTTCTAGGGCAGAGAATCGGCTTGGAGCCTCACTGCTCCTTTGAGGTCCTTCTGAGTTTAGCTGGGCATCAGCAGAAACTCGGGCAGGGTGGGTTGAGCAACCAGGGTGTAGAACCCGAAAATGCTTGGAGGTATTTGGACTCTATTGGGTGTGCTGTGGGGCTTGAGGATGTATTGCAAGGTAAGGGGGAGAGCAGGGATGAGCAGTGCAGGCAGAGCACATCTCAGATATCCTCATCATGCAGTCCCTGAGCTATGTCTGTGCCCCTGCCTCATCCCCAACCCCTCTGGTGCAGGTCCCTGCCCCCTCAACTATACTACATCCCTGCCCTGCTACAGCAGCCTTGTTTACCCACAGCTCCCCGAGTCCACACATGGTGTTCTTGTGATTTTGTTGGGGTTTTAGAGGCCTCCGAGGAGGTAACACATCCCTGGCTGGCTGCTGGCGTGACTGCAGGGCAGCAGCAAGCACGGGCAGCTCTTGCTGGAGGGGGAATGGGAGGTGAATTGGGTAGGTCCTGTGGGAGCTCCTTGGTCTGCTTCGTTTCCATGATTACTGCACATGCTAAAACGGACAAAGGAAAAGGCTTCAGCTGTGACCCTGTCCTAGGCCAGCCTTCTCCAGGTCCCTCGCCTGTTTGTGAGAGGCTGGGGAAACAGGGTACTGCATTGTTTCCTCCCCGCTGTCAGCCTGGGACTGTGGTCAACGCAGGGGTTTCAGACAAGTAGGATTAAAGGGGTGGAAACATTCGATCGTGTTTCTGCTGTTGCAGACAATGAATCAGCACTCTCCAGGTACCCAGCTTGGCAAGGAAGAGAAAAACCTAGGGCTAGAGTAGGGATTAGTGAACAGGCAGCACCTGCTTGGCCCAGGTCTTTGGTATGCTAATGTGAGCTCAGCTCATCAGAGAGGGTGATCCAGATAAACCGAGATTAGAGCAGTGGGGGCAAGGCAGCGTGTGGCCCTGGCTGCCTTCAGGGCTCTTCCAGCACTTTGGGAAGACGGGGAGGGAGATTGGGAGGAGTGGGATGAGAGCATCAAGGATCTTGCAGTGCCCAGCGAATGCCCCTTGGGCTCCTGTGGTTCCCCTGGGTTGGGGGAAAGAGCCCTGTGCCCTGGACAGAGGGGAGTGAAGGCAGCTCAGGATGGGAAAAAAAGGCAGAACTCATCCCATCCAGCAGTCACTTTGGAAAGGGTGTGTGTCCTCAGTGTGTGCAGCTCAGTAAAACAACGGGTCCTTATGCGTGCAGAGCCCTGCGGATGTCCAGTGTTGAGGAAGAGAGACCAGCACACGCCGAGTGACACTGGGGAGGGTGCGGGGGCTCTCGGGGCCAACTGGGAGGGAGGAGGGCAGGCCGGGCGGCACCTCTCTGGGCAGGGTGTGAGTGTGCCTAACCATCTGCTTTGTTTCCACGTACAGACCCTTGTAAAGGTGTCCTCAACGACATGAACCGTGTTTGCCGGGTGAACCCCCGCACCCGGAGGGTGGACCTGCTCTCCCGCCCCGAGAACTGCCCCCCAAAGAGAGAGCTCGTGTGCGGTGACGACGGGGTGACTTACGACAACGAGTGCGTGATGGGGCGCTCGGGGGCCATCCGGGGACTGGAAATCCAGAAGGTGCGTTCCGGGCAGTGCCAGCATCAGGGTAAGTACCTCTCTGCTTCCCGGGGAGTGGGAGCGTTCAGGTTCCTGACCTCCAGACTGCCCCCTTCCCCCCCGTCCCCGTGGCGTGTGCGAGCGGTGCTGCCCTCTCTCCCCCCAGACAAATGCAAGGATGAGTGCAAGTTCAACGCCGTCTGCCTGAACCGCCGCGGCACCGCGCGCTGTTCCTGTGACCGCATCGCCTGCGACGGTGCTTACCGACCCGTCTGCGCCCGGGACAGCCGGACCTACAGCAACGACTGCGAGCGCCAGAAAGCCGAGTGCCACCAGAAGGCTGCCATCCCAGTGAAGCACAGCGGACCCTGTGGTAAGCACTGGTGCCGCCGGGCTGGTTGCCCGTGGGAAAACTGGTACCCCCACACCTCTCGCTTCCCAGCCCCAGCAGCCACTTTAAGCCCAGTCAGTCCCTTCCGTGCAGGCAGCGGTGCTCGCCTTGATGCTGGCAAGCTGCAGGTAAGTTGTGAGCGGGTTCCCACCGCCTGAGCAGGCTCTCTTCAGTCTGTGGCCGACAAACCCTCAATATCTGTTCCTCCCTGTTCTTTTTCCTTCCAGGCGGCCTCCTCTGTGTGTGTGTGTGTGTGTGTGTGTGTGTGTGTGTGCATGCATGCGTTCCTCCTTGGTCTTGTCTCTGTCTGATGTGCTCCGTAACACAGGGAAGAATCGTTTGTGTTTAAACGATACCGAAGTGTCTGTGATGTCCTGGTTTCTCTCATTCACCGCCACAGCCAGGCGCACATTTGTCACCACGCAGTTCCCGTGCAGCCATTCATTCCTCCTCCCCAGGGTAGTGCCAGTCCCCAAGCTCCTTCCATGCTTCCCCCTCCATGCCTGCCTGCTTCTCTCAGCTCCAGGTACTCTCCGTAAGGAACTCTTCCCAGCGTGCCCGCTCTCTGGAGGTCTCGCCGTGTCTTTGTCTCGTCTCTGGGAGAAGCTTTTGACCTTTCCAATGGACACTTTTTCAGGCGTATGCGATAGGACGGGGCTTCGGGTCCCCAGGATCTTGGGAATGTCCAGTTTTAAAATTATTGTGCAGAAAAAGAAGGAGGTTAAAACACGGTCACCGGATTGATTTGCGTGAGTTGGAAGGACTGTTCATTTCAGCTCAAATTGGTTTTTACTAGATCTAGAACTGTGTCCTATTATTTTAAGCTGACGTTTTATAAGGTATCAGCTGTATCAAACCTTCTGAAGTACTTGGAAATTAGGCCCCACGCTGCGGATCTGTTTTTTTGGCTTTGTGCTCCTGCAGTGGGTTTTTACTGCTGCCAGGCCCAGCTGCTTGAAAACTGTTTGCCAGGCTCCCAAAATCACACTCAGTATAATCACAACGGTTATTTTTAATCGTCCCTTTCACTGTGGTTCTGGTGGTTCGACGTTAGCAGTCAGTTCCCCAATTTTCCCTACAGGGAGGGCAAACAGAGGCACCTTTCTGTCCTCTGTCTCCCCGGGCCGTGGGGAGCTGGATCACAACCAGAAGCTGGTTTGCAGCTGGGTGGCCAGGCCCTGGTGCCCTGGGCTCTCTGCAAACCCTTCCCTGTACCTTCTTTAGAGCCAGGCCCTTGCGCTAAGGTTTCCCAAATTTCTAGGGCGAGCAGAGAGCTCGTGCTGCTACTCACCCTGCGGTCAAACGCGCATCATTTCCACTGTGTTCAGTGGAATGAGGCCAGTGGACAATAGGATAGGGTCCCTATGCACCTGCCATTCCTTTCTCCATCTTATTCTCTTTTATTTTAGCTTCCCCCCAACTTCTCTTCCTCCAGGCGAGAACAGCAGATGCGCACATCTGCTTTCAGGATCCTTGTGGGGTAGGAGCGAACAAAGCTCATAATCTGGGGGAAGTAAATTGAAGCTGGGGCTCTGTCTGCCAAAGCCTTGGATTTCAAAGTCCACGTGACAGCTCCAGGCAGCCCTGTAGCAAATCACCACGAGGTGTGGGCAAGCCTTTGGCCTCCCCATCAGCTTAGGAAAACATCTTCTCTCCGAGCTCAGTGCTGCCCTTGGGAAAGAAAGCACGTCCCTCCGCGTGTCACCAGTTGAGACTCGATGTGAGATAGGAAACCGATTTAGAAATGGGGACGGGGTGGTGGTGTTGCTCGCCAGCCCTGTGTGTCAAGACAGGTTCTTCTCAGCATGAGCAGTGCTGGTGGTGCTAACTCCTGTCCTGGCTGGCTTCCTGGGCTGCAGGGTGGGACACACAGCGGTGGGTGAGACTGGGGGCTGAAGGAGCTACAGGCTCTGTTCTGCATCCAGCACCCGGGGTGGGCAGCGTGGAAAGTTCAGCCCTGCCTCTGTGCTCTGAGGATGCAGGAGACACACGGAGCTGGGGAAGGAAAAGAAATGAAAGACAGGAGGCCATTAGTGCGGTCACAGTGTTTTAATCTCTCACACATACCTGTCTAAGGAACTCTAAGCTCTGCTGCTGTCTTTTCCAGCAGGAAGGCAAAGGAGGCAAAGCCAAACAAAACAGTCCAGGCCTTGTTTGTAGTCCTTTTTTGCTTTGACACTGTGATGGTGTAGTTGAGAAAGAAGGGATGGGATGAGACCAATGTGGAGGGAAGGTGTCTGTAGTTGCATCTGTCTTTTCCTCCCTGCCTCTCTCTGCTCTCCCTCCCTACCCTCTTTGTCCCTCCGCTCTCTCTCTCTTTCCTTTTTTCGTCTGTCTTGTGTTTTACAGTGTTGCCTGTTTGGAGGAAGGAATTGTGTCCTCGCAGCACCCTTCTGCTCCCTACCCGGACATCTCTGCTAGGAGGTCGGCTTTCTCCCCTTCTCCGTAGCCAGTGACAGTCCTGGCCTCTTCTCACTGCTCCCCACCTCTCTAGTTTTGCTTGAGAGCCCCTGGGATGGAGAGGTTGTCCTGGTTTTGCTCCCATCCCTCTCCCCACACACTTCCCGCTGGAATGGAAATGCCTTGCAGTGCAGCGGGGTCTTGTCCGATGCTTGCTGTGGCTTGACCCTTCGAGGTAAATGAGAGTGGGAGCAGAGGTGGGTGCTGTCAGCCCCCCACTCCTTAGCAAGCCCCTCTTCGGCTGATACCTCAGTCTGGACTGCTCCTGGTTGATCTTACCTCTCCTTTTGCTCCCAACTAACCCCCCTTTCTTCCCCACCTCCTCCTTCCCAGAGACTTTTGCCTGCCTGGGACTGTGATGCTTGTCCCTTTGCTCTCCATAGTGTGTGTCACGCTTCTCTGTTCAAGTTCAGTGGGCAGGGGCTCTGCAGGGCTTGCAGCTCCCCTCCCCGGTGCCCAGCAAAGCACCATGTGCCTTTTGGAAGCATCGAGAAGCTGTCTGTGCTCAGGTGTGGTTCTTCCCTAGGAATACACCCCTATGTCCCTGTGGAGCTGGTGCTGGAGCCCCACTGGGGGTCATGGGCACAGATGGATGGGGCGTGATGGGTTACAAAGCAACTTCAGAGCCTCTTCTCCATAGCTACCTGCAGGCAGGGCTTGCAGGAGAGCTCAGTGTCCCCAGGTCCCAGGGCTTGGTTAGCTCTCTGCAAAGCTCGGCAGCAGATAAGGGATCATGCCCTTGAATCAGCCAGGGTGCAGAATAACCATTTTGCTTGCTCCGTGCCTCAGTTTCCCTGCCTGCAAGATGGAGAAGGGCCAGGAATCAAAGCAGGTCTTGACTGTAGCACAGCTTAAGGTCCTTGCTTAGTTAGGTCCTCATTATCCACCCACATCAGAATTGGTGCCAAAACCCCCATTGACGTCTTCAGGTGCCCAAGGCTGTGTGTGAAATTTCACAGCCTGAGATCCAGGCTGTGAAGGAACTTCATGTGCTGCATCTCTGCAGGTTTGCCTGCTTAAGAAGGGCGAGGAATGGCAGGGCAGCGTTCTCCATCAGGCCTGGCACCTCCCTGCACTCTCACTCACTGCTCCCTCGCTCCCCAAGGCAGGAGTGTGTATTTAGATTTCAAATGAGCCAGTGTATTTCCTTCGTGCCTAGCTTGTTGCATCCTTACTGCCTAATTGTGTCCAGCAAAGGTGCCTTCTCCATGCAAGCACGTGTCTCTGTGTGTTTGGTGGACATGATTATGTTGCAGATGTTGTTTTTAAAAAAGCGAAACGCAAGCAGGAGCTGTGAGCAGCATCACAGGGCTAAGCGCAGCAGGGAGCGGTTCCTGGTCTTTGAGAACTGCTCAAAAACTTCAGCTGCAGGGAAGTTGTGGACAGTTGAAAAGGCTGGGTTGACACAGCGGCCATATGCCTGAACTGTCCCCCTCTTCCCTGTTCCTCTGCAGACCCGTGGCTCGAAGTTTAAACTTGGTAGGTGCTTCCCCGAGAGCCAAATCCAAAGTTCAGCCTTGCCTGTGCCATTGCTACGGGCTGTTTTCTCGCCGGTTGCCAGCATGCAGCCAGCCTCCTGAGGGCTCAAGCCTTGCTCTTGCTCTGCAGATATGCCACCTTGGTCCTAGCAGGGGAGGAAAATGGAGGTGTTGTCCCATGCCCTGTGCCATGCCAGAAGGCTTGGGAGGGCTTTGTCTTTTCTCCCTGCACGCCAGCCCCGTGCCTGCCTCGCTGTTTGGTGTTGGTGGGGCTGTGCCACGTCTGCCTGTTGCATCCGTCTCGTCTCAGCCATGTTGTCTGTTCCCCACGTCCGTTTTGTCTCGTGTGTCCTTGTGAGTGTTCAGCACGGGTGAAATCTGTGTCCTTTCCTTGACCCAGGTCCTCAGGGCTCTTGTTTTGAGTCACAAGAAGGGGTGTCTGGGCAGTGCTGGGTCTCTCTCTCCCCAGCAGCGTGGCCCGTCCTGCCTTTTAGCTGCCTGTCTTGGCTTCTGGATGGTGGAGGGCATTCTGGAGCGGGCATGCCTGCCTGCAGCAAGCAGGGTGGAACTGCAGGGCTGTACCAGGGAGTCGGATGCAGCCTTTTCTCTTTGCTGTCACCGTTAGAGCTGGCTGCTTACCTCATTGCTGCCGGGCATCTTGCAGGGAAGGTGCCACCGGCTCAGCTGGCTTTGATTAAGCAGCTCCAGCTTGTGAGCAAGGGGGACTGCTGCCTCTCAGCCTGCAACCCGTGCTGTGGGGCATTACCCATCCCCAGGGAGCCTCAGGGCTCTGTTTCTGGAGCCAGATGCCTGAGGACTGGGCTGAAGCAAGGACGTCAGGTCTCTCCGTCCTGCTGCACAGCAGCTCCCTGGCCTTTCTGACACCAGCCTGCGAGAGGAGGGGCAGGGAGCTGAACTGCTGGGGAGAGGAGAGATACAGGCTGTGTGGAGCATCCAAATGCAAGCGTCATCTCCAGCCAGGTCTTCCTGGGTATTGCCACGGGGTATGAGGATGAGCTGCTCAGGGGACAGTGTGATTCTGAGGATGCGAGGCCTCAGTGAAGGGAACTATCCCTGTGTGAGCTTTTTGGCTACTGAGGGTTCGGCGGCCGGTGCCAGGTACTGCGTGACGATGTGGCGAGTGTCCTGGAGGCACCAAGCCCCGTGCTGAGGAGGGCTCACTGCTGCCTCCTGCCCTCCCACTGCCACAGAGCTGGTCACTCAGATCCGACTTCGCAGGCAGGCTCATGGCATTAATGCTGCCCGGGAAAAGAAATGCCAGCTCCCCTCCTGGCACCGAGGGGCTTTCGTCTGCATTGCCCTCTCTCAGCACATGATGCTTGTTCTTGATGCTGGCTGTGAGCTGCTGGGGGAGACCCAGACATCAGGGTTTGGTGCAGAAACCTGCCGGGCTGATCCTACTTCTGGCCGGCCCCTTGGGGCGGAATGTAGCTGGGATGGGGATGGGATGGAGGAGACGAGGCAGGAGTCCTGTTCATGGCGTGCAGGGAGAAGATCTTGTGCCTGCTTCCCATCCCTAACCTCTGCCAAGCATGGGGAAGATGCTGAGCTGGGCATGTCGGGGTGGCATGGAGGGTGCAGGGGCTGGGCTGGTGCCAAGGCCAGGAGCTCTGTGCATTTGCCACGGCTTGGGGGAGGCAGGCGTGGGGATGCTGGCATGCACTGCTGAGCGCGGGGAGCCGGGGAAGCAGCAGACTGAGACCCGGGTGCCTTTCTCTCCTGTCCCCTCTGCAGACCTGGGCACCCCCAGCCCGTGCCTGAGCGTGGAGTGCACCTTCGGGGCCACGTGTGTGGTGAAGAACCAGGAGGCCGTGTGCGAGTGCCAGCAAGTGTGCCAGGGCCGCTACGACCCCGTGTGCGGCACCGACAACCGCACCTACGGCAACCCCTGCGAGCTCGACTCCATGGCCTGTGTCCTCAAGAGAGAGATCAAAGTGAAGCACAAAGGGCCCTGCGGTAAGAGCCGATCCCTGGGGGTTGCTCCTCCACAGCCTTGGGAGCAGGCGGTGTCTGAGGCACGAATGCAGCCCTGGCTACGGGCAGAGAGGGCTGTGGGGTTGTTTTTGTGCTTTGCTTGCTGCCTTGTAAGCCAGGAGGGCAGGAGAGAGCCCGTTCAGCTCCCGCGTTGCCTGTTTTGGTGTGTCAGGAAACCTGCCATAGCGTGACATGGCGTGTGGTGGCTGCTGCCTGCGGGGCTCCTTTTCCTGCTGTCTGGAGGGTTACAAACAAAGCAGGCTCAGCAGGAGGGGGGATGCGGGGAGAGAATCCAGTAACCAGCCTGAAACCACTGCTGCCTTCCTCCCCGAGGGATGCAAGACAGTGGGGAAAGCCTTGGAGTAAGGCAAGTGTGAGTTGCCTCCCCGTGCAAGCCAGCCTGGTCCCTGTTGCCTGCACTGTCCCCTTCCCCACCAGACCTTACCCCGTAAGCTGCCCTGGAGAGAAGGCGGCCAGGTCGGAGGTGCAGGATGAAGTAAGCTCGCCCACAGAGCAGGGTTCATCCTCTTCCTCAGAGAGGACCAGACACAGCAGTTCCACCTCTGAGCTCTCTCTCTTTGTGCCCACACGGCTTTGCCACTCTGAAAGTGTTGGCACACAGGCACAGCCCCGGGCTAGCTGGGTTCTCCTGGGACAAAATCTGCTGGGGTATTCAGGTAGGGCTAGGCTCACAGCGATTTTCTCAAAATACAGTCTTTCTGCCCTTGACCTTCAGGCTGGGTGTGAGGAGGCAGTTTCTCCACCTAAGGCTGGTGTGTGCGGTATAGCAGTGCCCTTGTCCAAGCTGGGCTGGATCCCTTACAGTCATTTCCCCGCTGAGCTGCACTGTGCAGCTTGGGGAACATGCTCCTGAGCTGTAAGAGCTTTGAAACAGCAGAGAAAAGGAAGACCCTTCCTTCAGAAAAGGAAGACCCCCTCCAACCTGTGGAGCTCCTTGCTGCAGCATGGCAGAGGGCCCAGTGGGATTCAGGTCAGAAGAAAATGCTGGTTCCAACTCCACGCAGTTCCAGGAGAAACAATGAAGGATGGAAATACTTCGTCGGCTGTCAGGCACATGGACTTGAGTGCCGTGGAGGAAAGGGCTGCCCTTGTCTGCACACAGGCTGCCTTGAGCAGTCCCTTTCCCAACGTGCAGAGCCCAGGCGTGGCTGCAAGCTTTGTGCCGTAGATAGAAACCTCCTGGCCAACAGTCTGCACAAACCAAGCAGGGGGTTGTTGCATCTTCCCTCCCCCATGCAAAGGCAGCAGCTGCTGTGTGAAAGCAAAAATAAGAAAACCCATCTTTGAGCCAAATTCTTCATGAATTGAGTGGCGGGGAGGGAAGAGGGGTGTTTGTCTGAAGGAGAAAATGAAGCCGTGAATCACTAAATACCCAGGAGTCAGGAGAGAGGAGATGTGCTGGCTGGAGTCTGGTCTCTCCTGCAACGAGTGACAGCTCCTTTGCAAGTGAGTTATTACGAAGATAAACGTCTCCGCCGGCCCGAGCCTGCGTGTGCTGGGTGTGTGTTTGCAGCAGGCAGGCTGAATATCCCGCTGGGGGAGGTGGCAGGGCGCTGGGACTCGCTGCGATGCTGTACGTGCATCCAGCACTGCTGGCACCCTGAAAAACTGGGGTGAAGACAATATCCCCCTTCCCGACCGACCACCTCCTGCCTGGCTGGTTTGCCGTGGGTGAACCTGGCCGCCTCTCTCCCCCGGGGGCTGGCTGCTTGCTGCCTGGGGTGCTGCGCTCCTCCTCCCAAGGCTGGCGCTGATTTATCACTCCTAATTGCACTCGGCCCGTGCTCTCTCCCGCCTCCTATTTAGCTGTAACAGCATATAGCTGCCGTGACATTTCAGCATGGTTACTCCTGGTCCTGATGGCTTTTACGAGTAGTTATTGCCTTTCTGCCTCCGAGCCCGACTCTCCCTCCTCCTGCAGCCCTTGCCTCGGCTCCTTGCCTTGCACTGCGCCCTGGGGCTCCTGCTCCGGGCATCTGCAGGGGCTCAACCTAGTGGGGAAGGCTGAACTAAGGTTTTATTTCTGCTCTGGCACTTCATTAGACAGCGATGCCTGCCTGCCCTGTTGTGTTAACCTCCCGGTTTTCTTCATCCGTGCAGACCGCTGTGGCAAGTGCCAGTTCGGGGCCATCTGCGAGGCGGAGACGGGACGGTGCGTGTGCCCCACGGAGTGCGTTGCCTCCTCCCAGCCCGTGTGCGGCACAGATGGCAACACGTACGGCAGCGAGTGCGAGCTCCACGTCCGGGCGTGCACGCAGCAGACGAACATTTTGGTGGCTGCCCAAGGAGACTGCAGTGAGTCTGGCACGGTCCCTTTCTTCCCTCGCCTCGCTCCCGCTGGTGGCATTTCGGAGAGCGGATGCTCAGCCCCTCTGGCCACCCCAGCCCTGCTGAGGTGCCTGGCTGTGACTGTCTAAAGCTTCCCAGTCGTTTGGAGCCCGTGGGTTTGCCAGCCCTGAGAGACACCAGAAAAACCGTGGGGTTGAGATGCGTGGAGAGTCTCCCTAGCACACCTCCGGGTGCCTTTCTTGGTTTTGGGTCTTCCCGGGAGTATATCAGCTCCAGAGTAACAGGGCTTGCCCAGGGGCACCCAGTAGCCTGGCCCCGGGTTGCAGTTCCTGGCTGGTCGCTTTGAGACCCTACCTGAGGCTATTCACCTCATCTGGTGTGGTCTTCTTCCCTTTCAGCTTCACAAGAATTGGGCGTGTTGAGTCTCTCAAGCAGCTTCTTTTTAGCCCCAGCTATGCATCATAGGTGGTATCTGCCCTCTTTGTTACTGGCAAAGAAACTGGGCCACTGTCCATTGAGCCAAGCAAAGAACTTGGCCCAAAAACACATTCATAGCTACCACCAGAATGGAAGGCAACAAGGGTCCATTTGATCACAGAGTTCATCTCAGCAGCTTTCCCTCCACTCCATCCCCTGGGGTTAATTCATCTTTGTGTTCCCTCCCCACTCCCCAGCCCAGGGAACTGTCTGTGCTAATTTCTTAATGAATTAAAAGCCCTGCCTAGGTTCTTCATTAGGACAAAAGCTACTTCAGTAAAAGCAATGCTTTGAGCCTCATAAAACCTGTGCAGCTGGGTCTCGTGTTCCAGGGCTGAACCGTGCATGGAAATCCTCTCTAAATTTGGGAGAGAAGAACGACCGAGTGTGACAGATGACTCTCAGTGCCCCATGGGCACTGCGAGCAGGAGGAGGCGGAAATCAGAATACACCTTGAGAATAAATGGGGTTTCTTACTGGTCTTCTAGAAAAAGCTGCTGGACACAACACTTGTGGGTGCTGGTGGGAATCAGGAATGCTCAGGACTGGCCCTTGTCTGTCGCAGAGTCTTTGCACTGTTTAAATAAGCAGTACCAAATGGTTCTGGGGAAGGAGGGCTTCTCTCCTTGCCTCTCAGGGCGTGGCGTCAGCGGTCCCCAGCTCCGTGACACTGGCCAGCGGGCTACAAAGGCCCCTCCAGCGTCTCACTGCGGTTCCTCCCTCTCGCCCCGCAGAGTCCTGCGGCAGCACGGTGTGCTCCTTCGGCAGCAAGTGCGTGGGAGGGCAGTGCGTGTGCCCGCGCTGCGAGAGGCAGCCCTTCGCCCCGGTCTGCGGGAGCGACGGCCTCGCCTACGACAACCCCTGCGAGCTGCAGGTCGCCTCCTGCCAGCAGCAGAAGAGCATCGAGGTGGCCAGGATGGGGCCGTGCGAGGAGGGTAGGTGTGCCGCCGGCCGCGAAAGGTGGGGGAGAGGGTGAGGGAGGACTGAGGCTGCGCACAGTGGGCTCTTCCCCTCGCTGCTCTGCTCTGCCCCACTGCCCCGGGACACCCCCAGCACAGCAGGGCCCATCCCAGCGATGCTCGCCTTCCCTCCCACCACCAGTACCCCGCCTGCCGCCTCCCGTTGCCCTTTGTCTTTCTGTATCCAGCAGTAATGCGAGGTGACACCGTCTAATCGGCTGGGCAAGGACGACGTTATCACTGTTTTAATTTCACACTTCAGCGACGGAGCCTGTTCCAGGGGCAGGGAGCCTGCTTGCCACTTTGCTTCCCTCTGCCCCGGGGGCTGCTCGAGGGCCTGGCCTGTGGCCACTATTCACTGGGTACTGAGTGCCAGGGAAGGTCGTGGGGTTGGCTTGGCTTAAAAACTAAGAACCTGCTGAGATTTTCCACTGTCGGAGGGAAAACCGTGGGTTAACGCTGGCTGAATCCAAGTGCAGGAGGTGCCTGAACCTTGCCGCTCTGATGCGCCGACCTGGTGAGCTGAGATTCTCTGGCTCATTGTACGTGTGGTCGAGCTGGAAAGGGCTTCAGTGCCATGGCAGAGCTTAGGGAGAGGGGAAGACATAACACGGTGTTTGATCACAGCCCTCCTTGGGGAATTTCAGGTTGATGTCCCTCTGGGAAAAGATCTTAAATAATTCTCTGTGTAATGCCAAATCCCAGCCTTTGATCACTCAATAAAAAGGCCCAGGTTTTCCTTCACACACACACTGCCCCCCCCCACTTAAGAAGCCTTTGAAATCAGCAACATCTCTCTCTTGCTGCTGGAGCTCTGAGCATCTTATGGAGAGGCAGCCACGCTAGGGACAGAGTTTATATATTGTTAAGAATATCTGCCTAACTGAACTTCAAGCTAAACCCAAACCCCATCCCTTCCTCTGCTCTGGTTTCCATGTTTATATTACCAGCATCAATCTCCCTGCTGCACTGTGTGTTTGGGAGGGCAGGAGAATGGGAAGGAGTCAGATCAAAGCATGGAGTTAAGCTGTCAGTAAGTCAAGTGGCAGCCCTTCCTCCTGTGCATGGCTGTTAGCGGTCTGATCTCCAGATAGCCTGCAGCACGCTGGTAGCCACAGGATCCTGGCTTTTCCTCCTGCCGTGATGCCGGAGAGAGGAAGACCTCAGGCCACCTGCTAAAGCATCCCCTTCCAGTTTGCATTCTGCAGGCTTAGCGCAACCTTGTGACAGCGGTGGGAGAATCTGCATTTCCTAAGGGAGAGGGATCTTCTCTGAGGTCCAGGAATGATATATGTGGGCCCCCAGGATTCTGGGGTTGCCTGTGCTGAAGAGGTTAAGCCTGCTGTGATTTAGATGAGCCTGCGGGCTGCTTCCCCTGTCCAGGGCATGGGCTTGTGTCAGGGAAAGGGCTTTGGCCTCTTCCCCTCCACTTTCCCCTAATCTGCCTTGCTGGGTGTGAGCCCTTCCTCACCGGGATCCTCCTTTGCTCCAGAGTGCGGCTCGGGGGGCTCGGGCTCCGGCGACGGTAGCGAGTGTGAGCAGGATCGGTGCCGGCAGTACGGGGGCTGGTGGGACGAGGATGCTGAGGATGACCGCTGTGTGTGTGACTTCACCTGCCTGGCAGTGCCCCGCAACCCGGTAAGCACGCAGAGCAGTTCTGGGCTGCCTGTTGCAGTCCTCGCTCCCCTCCTCTCTCCTTCCCGGTGGCTTTCCCGCATGCTTTCCTGGGCAGGAGAGGGCATCCCATGGGTAGGGAACCTGCCTTCTGCCCTGAGCCGTTCCCTTCCCTGTCCTGGCAGGTGTGTGGCTCCGATGGGGTGACCTACACCAACGAGTGTGAGCTGAAGAAGACACGGTGTGAAAAACGCCAGGATCTCTATGTCACTAGCCAAGGAGCCTGTCGTGGTGAGTCCCCCGAAGGCCCCCAGTCCCCAAGGCTGACACAAGCTGCGTGCTCTGGTCCCCAGCCTGGTGCCCTGCAGTAACAGATGCCCTTGCTAAGCGAGGAAGCGCTCCCTAAGGACACAGCAGTGCCTGGGGTTGGTTTGCTGATTCCCCGCTGCCTCATTCCTGTTTCGTGCCCCGTGCTTTCCCTGGGCAAGGTTAGGACCTCACCGCATCACCCGTTCCCAGCATCTCTGCGAGGACCACACGGTGTTGCGGGAAAGCTGCTAGCTGCTCCATCCATAGGTTGGCAAGACTGCCCTGAAGCAGCCTGCGTGCCAAAGATAACCCGTACCTCTCTGCCTTCCTCTGCAGCCCTCGCCACAACCCCGCCACCTCTCCTGGTTGTGCACTGCAGCCAGACCATCTACGGATGCTGCCCAGACAACATGACCTTGGCACTCGGAGTGGGGGCAGCTGGATGCCCAAGTGAGTGAATGTTGTGTTCCCACCTCAGGGGGCATGAGGGACCTTCAAGGATGGCTGGAAGGGAGGAAAGATCAAGTGGAGGTGGGACTTGGGGTCCCATCCCAGGGAGACAATGGAAGGTGAACCTTCCCCATTCCTTAGCTTACCAGTGACCTCCCAGGCTCAGAAAGCCTCCGTTTTTCCCCAGCTCCAGGCTCACAGCATGCACACATGGAGATGTACACGCATACTTTGCCTTCTGTATCTACCAGTGATGCTCTTGGCCTTTCAAAAGGTCAACTTCCTTCAACTTCCAGGTCTCAGTCCCTCGGAAATGCAGGAGGACAGGATGGTGGCTCAAAACTTGTCTGGTGCTGAGTCTGTGCTGGATGCCCCAGAAGGTGCCCCTAGGGCCAGACCATGCTCTCTGCACCCTCCACCCGTTGCTAGAGGCTTAGGGCTTTTCACCAGCCTGAGTGACAAAAATATTGCTTGTATCCTTACACTGCAGGCTGAGGTGGAACAGAGCTCTTGGGTTCACCTAGGGACCTTCTGCTGGCCACCCCAGGACCAGTGACTAGTGGTTGACGGCAGGAAGCTGAGCTGGCAATTGTTTCATTAATGTTTATTAAATAATTATTGGAGTCAGCACTTTAGCAGAAGGCGCATTTTGAAAAGCATTAGCAAACTCTTAACAGCTGAGGCTGTGGCTGCCTGTTAGGGAAACACATTACCCCATGGAGACACAATTTGCGCCGGGCTTGGGCCTGGCTAATGCCTGCTAGATGAGGATGTAGTGCTGCTTAATGTGCCGTATAATTTAAAAAGCAGCAGCATTCAGAGGATGTCCAGAGATCTCCTGGCAGGGGGTGAGGTGGGCGACGGAGGAGCAGAGACGTGGTGGTGTGGCCTGTGCTGGGCCAAGGGGGACCAGCAGAGCCGGGAGGAGCCGGTCAGAGTGATGCTAGGGAGGACACAAGGATTTTGCTTTTAGCATCGCCCTGCCAGTGCCGGTTGGTGGTGATGTTCCTCTGTGTCTGATGGAAGTCCTGTCCCCTGCCCTCCAGGCCAAGGGACACAGCCTCCCAGTTGACTGGGATTCAGCATCCCACCAGTTTCTGTCCCACCTGTGTCCCTGTGTTGGCAGCAAGCATGCATCAGGAGGTAATTGCCACTTAACCAGCAGCTTGAAGCCCCTAGGGCAGATTTATCCATAGCTGCCTGTTCTGGACATGCCATTTCCACGCCTCTGGCAGTCTGGGGATGTGCTCGGGCACCCTACTTGCTGCTCCCCAGGTCTCCCTTTCTCTACCCCCTGCTCCCTTTCTACTGCTCCCTGTGGATAAAGGGAGCGTCTCTCTGTCTATCTTTGGATCATTTCCCTCCATCAAGTTCCTAATAAATGAATTAATAATAAACTTCTAATAGCTTCCTCCCCCTTTGATGTTAATGTGAGAGGAGTTCTTGATGACAGCAAAACGAGCGGGTTAATCCCTGAAGGTTTAGTTCCCCCTTGCAACTGGGGCAGAGGAGAAATGTTGAGAGCAGCTGGTGAAACCTCCTCCTGCCCGGCGTGAAACCACGTTCCTACCCTGGCTCAGCATCTCGGAGTCTCGCCAGTCGGTCCCTCTGCCCTGATGCAGCCCCCGACGTTTGTGTGTGTGTGTCCCCTCTCCTCCTCGGCCAGGACTCAGCCTCACGTTCTTCCCCTCTGGCTCGCAGGTACCTGCCAGTGCAACCCCTACGGCTCCTATGGGGGAGCCTGCGACCCCGCGACGGGGCAGTGCTCCTGCAAGCCAGGCGTGGGGGGCCTGAAGTGCGACCGCTGCGAGCCAGGCTTCTGGAATTTCCGCGGCATCGTCACCGACAGCAAGAGCGGCTGCACGCGTGAGTGCGGGCAGGGCTGGGGGGGGGGAGGTCACCCCATGCACAGCTCCCTGCCTCTCTCTGCGGGGGGGGGGGGGGAATCAAGGCACAGCGGGGTGCTGTGATATTTCAAGCAGCGAGCCCTCGTGTTGGTGCCGCTGGAAGTCGCCTCCAGCGGCTGGTTTTGCAGAGCTGGGTGGCTTGCTCCGTGCAGGGTGGCCTGAAGCATGGCTCGGGAGCTGGTGTCTCCTGTTCGTGGGCCAGATGTTCAGCAGGGAACGAGCCCTGGTGTCCCTGCACGTGTCCGTGGGGCGAACGTGGGGTCGCAGGGGCAGTGGTCAGATGGTGGCGGGTGGAGGCAGGTTCCTGCAGCCGGTTTGGGGTCAGTAAGTACAGGGTGGCACTCAGCCTTATGGTCCTCCCCTGGACCCTTCTCCTCGCTCTTCTCTTGGATTGCCGGGGGGCCTGAGTCAGTCTGCTGTTGGCTCCACAAATCCACCAGCAAAACGGTGTCTTTTTTCTCCCTTCTTGCCCAGCCTGCAACTGCGACCCGGTGGGCTCAGTGCGCGATGACTGCGAGCAGATGACTGGTCTGTGCTCCTGCAAGACTGGTATCACTGGCATGAAATGCAACCAGTGCCCCAACGGCAGCAAGCTGGGCATGACTGGCTGTGAGAAAGGTGAGGGGGCCCACGTACCAGAGGGGTTCAGTGGGTCACCAAGAAGTGGGTGCTTGGGTACACACAGGACTGTGAAAGAATTAACCTCCCTCCCACCGTGTGTGCTTGTGCTTTGGGGGAAAGGGGCCCTGGCTTCCACTCCTGGCTGGGTTCCTGTTATCTGTGCACTCATGCATAGCACGAGGGACTGTTTCTCTGTTTGGTGAAAGTCTGTCTTGTCCACTGGTGTGAACTGCTCTGGTGAGTGCCTGGGGGAGCTCAGACCCGCTGGGAGGAGAGATGGATTTTGATTCAGTACGTGCTTTCTTGGTCATCTCTTCCCCGCTTCTCTCCCACCCCCAGACCCCTCAGCCCCAAAATCCTGCGAGGAAATGAGCTGCGAGTTTGGGGCCTCGTGCGTGGAAGTCAACGGCTTTGCCCACTGCGAGTGCCCGTCCCCGCTCTGCTCGGAGGCCAACATGACCAAGGTTTGCAGGAGAGGCAGCCCCGGGGGGCTGAGTGGCGTGCCGCGGGGATGTGTGGCTAGCTCGGCTGCCTCGGGCCGGTGCCGGCAGCACGGGAGCCTGATGTCTCTTCCCCCACCACGAGAAGCAAGTGGGCAAGTTTGGTCACTGCGTGGGGAAGGGCGGCGTGCGAGACTTGGGTGTCTCCCAGCAGAGCTGGGTGCTCTGTGCCCCATCTGGCACCTCGGAGCTGCTCTGCTCCTGGGCTTCCACAGCCCGCCCTTGGGTCCCTCTGTGCAAACCCCTCTTTACCTCAGAGGGAGCCCTGCAAAGCCCCTGCTCCCAGTGTTTAGGGACTGGTTTATTTTGCCCCGGGCTCAGAGGAGGACAGGGGTGCAGCTCATGTTTCCCCTCTGCCTCCCAGGTGTGTGGCTCTGATGGTGTGACTTATGGGGACCAGTGCCAGCTGAAGACCATTGCCTGTCGGCAGGGACAAGCCATCACAGTGAAGCATGTGGGGCAGTGCCACGGTGAGTGTCTGCAGCTCTGGGTGCCGGGGCAGGGCCAGCTCTCCAAACGGACACTGGACCTGGCTCTGGCTGCCTCCCTCCCTTTGCGGTTCCTGGCTGGGCCGTGACTTTTCGTGGCACAGCAGATGCACTGCCTGGGGCAGGCTCCCGAGGGTTTGCAACGTGCTTCCCAGCGTCACGGCCAGCCTTTCCCAGACCTGCCCCTCCTTACCTACCCTGTCCTGCTGCTCTTTTCAGAGTCCATCACTCACACAAGCCACACCTCGCCACCCACACCGCTGCCCACACTGCCCTTGGACAAGTTAATCCTCCCACCGCCACTGCGGCTCACCACCCGGGCTCCAGAACCCACCGAGCTGGCTACCACCTCCCTGCTGTTGGAAGCCAGGCCTACGGAAAGAGATCACCCTACAACAAGGCGCGTCACGACTGCCAGACCAGCCACGACACCGTGGATGACCCACGGGGTGTATAAAACCACCGTCCGCCCTCTCTCCACCGCACCAGTGGTCCTGGCCACCACCCAGCCTGCCTACGTTGAATCGGGCAGTGCAGAAGGCAGCGGAGACCAAGAGATGGGCAGCAGTGGAGACCAGGAATCTAGTGGGGCAGGCTCTGCCGGTGAGTGTGCACTTCTTGGGCTTGGCAGGTCGGTGGTGGGCTAAACCATACCCCGTCTCTCATGGCGAAATGAAGCCGGGGATCAGCCTCGTTCTCTGGCGCAGAGGTGGGGGTCTGACCTCCTGCTGGTGAATGCTCCTCTTAATGCTCTGCAGGGGAAGAGGAGGTGGAGGAAAGCCAGGTGACTTCCACCCCGGCCATCGAGAGGGCCACGTGTTACAACACCCCGCTGGGATGCTGCTCCGATGGCAAGACGGCGGCTGCTGATGCGGAAGGCAGCAACTGTCCGGGTGCGTTTGTCCTCGGGGCTGGGCTCTGGGGCTCTCTTTTTGGTGGTCAGGAGTCAGCCCGAGCTCTTGCAGGGTGCAGGGGAGGGAGAGGTGCCACCGAGAGGTGCCTGGCAGGGAGAGAGCAGCGTGGTACACGGTTCCTCTGGCCAGTCTGGGGGCTGGCATGTCCCCGAGGGGACCTTCATGGGGACGTGCTGAGCCATGGTAGTGGTAGCCCATCCACAGCCCCCAGCAGCCAGTCCCACTGCTGGGTGGGTGCTGCTGTTCACCTGGGGAGCCAGGGCAGTCTGCTTAGGTGTTTTCTTCACTTAGGTGACCACTTTCTTCTTTGGCGGCTACAACCTTAAAACTTTGACCAGCGTTTTGCCCAGGCTTCTGCAGAGCTCACGACTGACACTAAGGCAGATGAGGGAATTTCTTGGATTCCCATTTTACGTATGTCTGGCTATAAGGGGAGCCGGGCTGACCAGGACCAGTTTGGTGCCAGGGCAGGCAGGGAGAAGAGCCAGAGCCCCAGTGTCCCTGCTGGGGTTCCTGGGGAGCCTCGTGCTGCGGTTCCCAGGGGTGTGCACTGCTCTCACGACCTAGGTGGGATCTGTCTTGCCTGCTTACAGTCCCTTTCACACTGTCCAGCTGAGGAAACACAGAAACACTGAGCCGCCTGTGCTCGGTCAGAGTGTTGGTTGCCCTGTACGTACATCCTTGTTACCCTAAAAATCATTGCTCTGGGGAAATCTCCTAGATTTTTTCTCACTGCTCACCGAAGTCCTTCTGAACTGACCCTGTTCCTTGGGGTTTCCAACAGGACATCCCCTTTTCTTCTGGACACCGCGTTCCCTTTTTCACCCACGAAAGGACAGCTGCTGGGAACCTCCCGTATGGTCACCCACAGCGGGGACCTTTCTGTAGCTGCCTCTGCATTCCCCCAGCTCCCCTGGAAGGGAACCACACTTTGGGTTCCTGTTGCAGTTTCAGTCTGGTTTTGCAAGGCCGGCCACAGCCTGTTAGCTGGCAGGTTCCCTGCTTCCCTCTCCCAGCACAGGTCTTCTCCTTGCCCAGAGTCCACATTTTGCCCTCCTCTGCCCGCTGTTTGCATGCCCGTGTCTGATCCTGCCGTATTGACTATGTGCTGCTCTGGCTAACGTCTTTCTCTTGTTACTCAGCCGGTGCAGGGGGGCTGCTATCCGGGCCGGAGCTCAGAGGAAACCGTATGGTAAAAGCTACCACCTCCAGCCTGGTCTTTGCCATCTGCTCCAGCACCCTCTGATACTAATCCTCCATGGCGCTCTCCCAGACCCATCCAAACTAACCCCAACACTGGCACTACCCGCACACTGCCATCACCCTTTCCACCCCCAGGGACTCGAACGCTCCTTGCGGCTGTCAGCCACACGCCTGTCCCCTGCCCACAAGCCGACTAAAGGCGTTTGTCTTGTGTACCCTCCCTCCCATAGCTACCAAAGTCTTCCAAGGAGTCCTCATCTTGGAGGAGGTGGAAGGCCAGGAGCTGTTCTACACACCCGAGATGGCTGACCCCAAGTCAGAGCTCTTTGGGGAGACGGCCAGGAGCATTGAGAGCGCGGTGAGTTCTTTGCACTTGTGCAAAAGTCTGGCTGGGGCTTTTCTGGTCAGGGCAAAAGAAGAGAGGACCCTGCCCACCTCTGCGCTGTGGTGGACGGATGACTAAACCCCAAATGCTCACTTCCAGGAACGAAGTCCTCCCCTTCTCAAGCGAGCAGGCGTTCTCCGAGCCGCTGCTACGAAGTGGGCTTGTCTGTTCAAGTGGCTGGCTCCCCTTGGGAGGGCTGCTTGCCTGCTGTGCTTCACGCCAGCCACAGTACCCTGTGCCAACACCACCCTCTGTAACTGCAGACGCTCTGTGGTCCCGACCGCGGGAATTGTTGTGGTTTTCCTCCTGCTTTGCCTTCTCGTTTGCGATGGCTTCTGGGGAGGCCGTGGCCTCTCACTGCTGTCTGTCAAGTGGGAGCGCAGAGAACTCACTGCGAAATGTGTTGAGTGCCTTGGAGGACCATCACTCCATGTTGGGGTGGGCTTTTTTTTTTTTTTTTTTTTTTTTTGGAAATGGGCTGAACCTACAAAAGTTGGGAGTGAACACACAGCTTATCGCCAGGTCCAGCGTTTTTATGGGGTGGGCACTTAGGAGATGATGCACCAGGTCTGCCTGTGAGGTACCCTCTGTGAATTTATCTGATCTCTTTTTAATCTACATGTGTTATTAGCCTCTACCACACGTTGTGTCAGTGGGTTCTATCCTTTGTTACGTGTTGGGTGAAAAATTACCCTTTTTCGGCTTGATCTTGGTGGTGGGGCTGTTTAGACAAGATGTTCTGCCGTAACACTCTGGGTTTCCCAAAGTGTCCCTATCTCCGTGAAAAGACAAAAACATGACCAGAACTCCTCTGCCCCTCCAGTTCAGCTGCACGATTTGGGAAGCTGCTTGTGTAAATGCAGTCTCCCACATTTAAGGAGAACCCCCCTGCATTGCCAGCTCTTGGAGTAGGCGGACTTTGCGTGGCAGTGTGTACATATGGGTATGCCAAGGAAGCGCTGGGTCGGGTAGCAACATTGTACTGTAGCCTGCAGTGTGGCACAGCAAATACAAAGCATCTTTGCAAGGAGATTAACATATTTAGAGCCGGTTCCAAGCTGCACTTAGAAGTTGGCAAGCCCTTTAGTACAGTCATATAAGCAGATGTGTGCCTGGCATATGGACCATATGGTTCATGCAGTTCTGTATCACAATAGCGATATTTCCCAGTACAACAGTGGCTTCTATCTGAGGATGCAAACATGCACACAAAAGCTTCATTCACTGGTTCACCCATTCTCTGCCCCTCAAGAAGGCAAGAGACTTGGCTGGTTCCTGTTTTCCCAGGCTGGGGAAATGGAGGCATGGTACAGGCCTGATGTCCCAGAGACCGACTGTGGCTGGGCTGAGTGCTCCTGCCACAGCCCGGTGCTGCAGAGACCTGCTGTCCCTGGGCAACCTACCTGCAAATGCCCGCGGGTGTGATGTGCTCCTTTACCCCTCGTGAGATCACTATTCCCAAATTTATAGGGTGAGACTATACCATGGGACCATTAGTCAGTTAATTATTTTCTTCTGTCTTTGCCTTGAAGCTGAGGGGAGGAAGCGGTGGCCACTAGCCGTGATGACTGCTGGTCCAGCACGAGGTTGGACAGAGTTCTAGCAGGGGTGTTAAAGCCCCAACTTTCTGTAAGCCTTGGACTGTCACTGTCTCCTTCATGTGACTTCAGACAAATCCTGCAGTGTCTGAGAGCCAAGTTTTAAAAGGCAATAAGGCACTTGAAGATGCAGAATGGTGCCTTGTGGAATTTTCCGAAGTGCCTAAGCAGGTTTACACAGCTTTAGAAGAGATCAGTAAGACAGATGCCACACAGTAGAAAATCCCTGTATGAACTGCAAGGTGTCTCTGGTCAGGCTCTGTTCTGCTCTTCATGGGTATGATGGGGATAACTTACTATCCCCACACTATTTCTGGATCCTGTTCTTACCTTTGACTGCAGGCCATAAAGAATAGGGACCATCTAAAATTATCACCCTACACAGTGCAGGGTTCTCTGCATGTGTCAGTGGGATGTCTTGCAAAGGTTTGGATTTAAACCCCTGTGGGTTGAAACCAAGGAGACTCGCTGAGACTCAAGATCTTTTGCTGGAAGGACCTAGGATCTCCCCATTAACCACTTTGTTTATCTTTTTTCCTTCACCTCTGCCCAACTAGCTGGATGAGCTTTTCCGTAATTCTGATGTTAAGAAGGATTTCAAGAGCATCCGTGTCCGAGACCTGGGGCAGAGCAGCGCTGTCCGTGTCATTGTGGAGTCCCACTTTGACCCAGGTAAGAGTCCAGTCCCGCCCAGTGCTCATTCACTGGGGCATCACCATCTGCCTGAGGAAGGAACAGGCACTCCCAGCGGGGCTGCTGGCCTGAGAAACATGCGTGTGGCAAGGAGCATGAAAGAAACTTTTTAAAATTTGCCGGCGCTATGTCTTCTGTCCAGCAAAATCAACAGATGCTGTGAGAAGAGCTGGGAGGAGGTGCACCCCAAGCTGGTGCTTGAAAGGCTGGAAGCATCTTCCTAGGGAAAGGGATGATCTGGATGCGTTGTGGGGAGGTCACAAGAGGGAAACTGCTAGGTGGGCCTGCATTTTCACTCTTGCCTTTCTCCTCTTGGCTATGATCAGCTACTTCCTACACGGCAGCTGATGTCCAAGGGGCCCTGCTGAAGCAGATCAGAGCTTCCAAGAAGAAGACCATCCTGGTGAAGAAGCCCCAGCAGGAGCATGTCAAATTCATGGACTTTGGTGAGCCTTCCCTGTCTGCAGCCAGTCCCCGTCTCTTGGTTTAAGCTTTCGAACGGGCAGGCTGGCTCTTCTGGTCTTGCCAAGGCTTTTCATCTCTAGCATTAACCTGTCAAATGCTACTCCTGCTCCAGAGCAGGTCTCACAGGTTAGCCTCTGCGCCCAGACTCCTTCTCAACTCTGGAAGGCAATAAAGGGGGTGAAATTGTTCCCCTCTTCCCCAGCACAAGGGCAAGCGGCAGCGCTGCCCCATGGCGATGTGACACTGCCCACAGTCCTAGAAAACGAGCCCGTTTTGGTGCTCCCGAGGGGGTGGCCAGCCCGGCCCATGTGATCCCATGCTGATAAACCCAAAACACTGATTTTTTTTTTCCAGGAAAGAAAGGTGCACGGCCATCCCTGCACCGGGCATGCAGCTCTGCCTGGGAGCATGTCTGCCCCCGCACCAGGGGGGAAGGACAGACAAACTGTGGGGCTTGTAAGCTGGGAGCTCTGGGGTCTGGAGAGCAGAGGGGAGCAGACTTTGGGGTGCACGTAGCCTGGGAAAGTGACCCATCCAAGCCTCTCTGCTGCCATCTCACCCCAAAAGCCCGATTGTTTTTTTGTTGTTGTTGTTGTTTTGGGTTTGGTTTTGTTTTGTTTTTTTTATTGGTTTGGTTTTGTTTTGTTTTTTAAAATTCCGCCAGGGAGGGTTGCAAAGCACCAGCCTCCACTCCCGTTTTCCTCCCGTTTCAGACTGGATCCCCCGGCTCTTCACCACCACTGTGACCACAACCACGGCCACCACCGTGGCACCCGCCACCACCCCACGGCGGTACCCCACGGCAGCCGCTGCCACCACACCCCACGGCCCGCGCCCGGGCGCCGCGGGCCGACCCAGCCCCAAAGCAGCAGGAGCTGCGAGCACCAAGAGACCCACGTCCACCCTCCCCGCCACCACCCGGCGGAAGCCCACGCGCCAGCCCCCCGGCACGAGGAAACCCACGCGGCCCTGCGACTCCCACCCCTGCCTGCACGGCGGCACTTGCGAGGACGACGGGAAGGAGTTCACCTGCAGCTGCCCAGCAGGCAAAGGGGGGGCCGTCTGCGAAAAACGTACGTGCCCCTCACTTCTCTCTGTCCGTACAGACTTGAGGGGGGGGCAACATAACCCAGCCCCGTAAACTAAGCACTGGCACCGCACGTGCACCGGGCAGGAGGCACGGCAGGGGTTGATTTAATTTTCTTCGCTCTGCCAAGAACCGGTTGTACACGCGCTGTGCGTTGCACGAGGGCGAGCACGGCAAGAAGGTGCCAGGAGCAATTTCATCCTGGCTCCACTTCGGATAGACCAGTGCCCCGAAGCACGGGGATTGTGAGCTGCTGCTTTTTTAGCTCAGCTCGCAGCTCCTGCAGCTAGTGACTGCTAGTTAGTGTAACAGAGAGACGGGTACTAGCTGTCCTCTCGAACACCAGGAGATGTGTGCTGATAATTGAGGCTCGATTTTCCAGTGCTTAGTGAGCAGCTGCAGACTGGCACCACGCTTAACCAGCACTGCTGGTATTTATTGTGAGCTCCCACTACCAGTTTAGTGCCGTGCTGGGGGCTCTGGGTGGTTTGTGAGTGCTTGTTCCTGAAAAGCTTTGTGCCTAAAGCTATAAGCTGGAGTGCTCAAAGCTGCTGCTGGATGTGGGTATCCAGCCCTGTTAATTTTAATAGGGCTTGGCCTTCCTGATCCCTTGGAAAATCTCAGCTGCAGTAAATAGAAGCCTGGAGTGATGAATGTAAATCTGTCATGTGGGATTTTGGGAGGACAGATGAAAATTATCTAAGGAGCGGGGAAGTTTTGTTATGAGGATCTGTGTGTGCAGCAGAGCTCAGCTGATGGCGTGGGGGGATGTGATAGCTGGGCATGGAAAGGGCCAACAGTCCTTACCTGGGAGGAGCCGACTGGGACACCGTGGAAGCTAAGAACTGGGGGAGCAATACCACAGGTCTGTAAAGCCTGGAAGCAATCTTGGAGGGGGGCATGCCTTCACAAGAGGAGTGGGTTGCTGCCAGTGCGAGTGTCTGGCAGGCGGTGACAGGGGATGATTGCACAGGAGCATGGGCCCAGAGGAGAGAGCGAGCTTCTCCCTGCTGTTTCTGTGTACAGCTAGGAAAATGTTCACAGGCTCATGTCTGTTCCCGCCTCTACTGCATCCCCTCTCCCTTTCTCTACCCCTGCCCTGCCCGCCCCGGCTCTTGCAGCTATCAGGTACTTCATCCCCAGCTTTGGTGGCAAGTCCTACCTGGCCTTCAAGATGATGAAGGCGTACCACACCGTGCGCATCGCCATGGAGTTCAGGACCGTGGAGCTCAGCGGGCTGCTGCTCTACAACGGGCAGAACCGCGGCAAAGACTTCATCTCCCTGGCGCTGGTTGGCGGCTTTGTGGAGCTCAGGTGGGTGCCCTTCCCCTCGGCCCTGGGCGGTGTGGAGGATGTGGAGCAGCCAGAATGGTCCTTGCAGAATCTCTTGCCAGAATGGTCCTTGCAGAACACCAGGAGAATGCTGGGCTCAAGCTTGCAGGCTAAGAAACAGCAGCATCAAATGAGCAAGAGGAGGAGCGTTTTTTCCATTGTAATAGGAATACTAAGGGGACTCATTCCCTGTGGCACTTTTCTGCAAAGTTAATTCACTTCTTTCAGTTTGAATTTTGAAAAGCTGGAAGGTGTGCGAGGTTGATTTTTTGAGCAAGGGAGAGATCGTCTTTTACTGCTGTTTTCGTACTGGAAAAAGAAATGCAGGAGGAAAAAGAAAGGGAGAAAGGCCCCAGAAGTCTGAGCTGAAATGATTTTCCCAATTCCAAAAGCCAAAGGTGTGGATTCGGGATGAGGTGAGGTGGAGGGCAGACCTCTGGACTCTGCGAAGTCCTGCAAAGTTCTCAGGCAGTCAGTCCCGACGCTCAGCTTCTCCCGGGGGTGCAGCAGCCCCCGTGCCGTGGCACGGAGGTCACCTTTCCGCCGGGTGGCACAGACACAGCCCTCCCCCCCCCTCTTCTGCTCCAGGTTTAACACTGGCTCCGGGACGGGCATCATCACCAGCAAGGTCCGCGTTGAGCCTGGCAAGTGGCACCAGTTAGTGGTGAACCGCAACCGCCGCAGCGGCATGCTGTCCGTCGACGGGGAGCCCCACGTCAGCGGGGAGAGCCCGACGGGCACCGACGGCCTCAACCTGGACACGGATCTGTTCATCGGGGGAGCGCCGGAGGATCAGATGGCTGCGTGAGTGAGGGCAGGGAGTCACTGCAGGCAGAGCACCCGTGGTGGCTGCTAGCAGGCTGTTGTTGGGGACTGGGGCTTCTCTAGGCCTGGGGGTGCTTCTTAACACCCTGTTGGGGAGCACGGACTGACCCAGATGCTTGGAGAGCCTGTGTGTTTTTGTCCTCGGGGACAAAAACCCCCCAACCAATTTGTCCTCTATCCCCTCAGGGTGGCGGATCGTACCGCGGCCTCCGCGGGTCTGAAGGGCTGCATCCGCCTCCTGGACGTGAACAACCAGATGTACGACCTGCGGGAGAAAGGCAGCGATGTGCTGTATGGCAGCGGGGTGGGCGAGTGCGGCAACGACCCCTGCCACCCCAACCCCTGCCACCACGGTGGCATCTGCCACGTCAAGGAGGCAGAGATGTTCCACTGCGAGTGTCTCTACAGCTACACCGGTACGGGGAGGGGGAGTGGGGCTGCGGACAGCATTGCTGGGGCTCTGGATCCCGCAGGGTGGGTCTGAGGGATCTCAGAGCCTCTGGGGATCGTGGTATGAGCCACAGTGGGGAGGGATGTGGTGTGGAGTGTCAGCAGTGGGTTAGAGGGAGGAGAGTAGGATGAAGCTGCATCCGGTGAAGTCAATAAATTTAGAATGTAGATCTCTCTGTATGCACATAAGACAAAGACCAGGATCTGTTTGTTGTTGTGCACAAAAAAAGTCCCCTAGCATTTTAGGGACATAGTGTGGCAAGGCTATCACCTGCCGTTTGTGGGGTCCACTGTGAGAGTGCTTCTTGGGTCATTGGAACCCAACCTGAGACTGGAGAAAAAAGCTGGCAGGGCATGAGGAGGCACCGGAGACATTTGCCTCTGGCCAGACGGTGCCCGGTGGCTGTTGGTTCGAGATCACTGATGTGACAGGCTGCCCTGTCCGCTTGCAGGCCCAACGTGTGCCGACGAGAGGAACCCCTGCGACCCTACGCCCTGCCACGTCTCTGCCACCTGCCTGGTGCTGCCGGAGGGAGGTGCCTTGTGTGCCTGTCCCATGGGCCGGGAAGGAGACTTCTGCGAGCTAGGTGGGACGGGAGCTGGCAGAGGAGCGGGGCTGGGGAAGGGGGTGGAACTGAAGGTGCTGATCTCCCCAGCCTGGGTGGCCAGGAGGCCTTGCCTGCTGTGGCTCTGGGGCGCTGGCTGAAGCTGCTCTGCCTCCTCTTCCTCACCATTCCCTCGTTTGTGCCCAGTGACAGAGCAGGACCACACCATACCCTTCCTCCCGGAGTTCAATGGCTTCTCGTACCTGGAGCTGAACGGGCTGCAGACCTTCGTTCCTGACCTGCAGTAAGTGCCAGGGAACGGGAGAGGGGCCGGCGAGCGCATCGCCTGCCTGGCTGATTCAGGGGAGAGCACTTGTGCCCTGAGCCTCGCCTGTCACACGCTGCCTCTCCCTCGAGATCTTCCCTTTTGCCTGCTGGAGGTTTTCTCCGGAGGGACTGGCGTTGCCAGAATCCCTGCAGCCAGACTGAGCAAGCACCTGGGTGCTCAGCGTTGCGACAGGCTGGGTAAAATAGGCGCTGCGGAGCAGCATCCCAGCATGGCAGCTGCACCTCTTACCTGGCAAGGGTGCCTCACAGGGGTGGCATCTCTCTGCCATACCTGTAGTCCCAGGTAGGCAGAGGACTTCCGAGGGCTCGGCACATGGGGGTGGAGGAAAAGAGCACGTGGGCAGCTGGATTGGAGGGTATCCGTAATCCTTCTCTCTTCAGGGACAAAATGTCCATGGAAGTTGTGTTCCTGGCCAAGAACCCCAACGGCATGATCTTCTACAATGGCCAGAAGACAGATGGCAAAGGGGACTTTGTCTCTCTGGCCTTACACGATGGCTACCTGGAGTACAGATACGACCTGGGCAAAGGGGCGGCTGTGCTCAGGTAGAGTGGGCTGGGGAGCTGCTCGTCAGGGTGCTGGTGGTGACAGAGACACGAGGTACAGGGGTGACTTTTGGCGTCCAGCACTTGGTTTGAGCTCCCCTCCCCAGAAAACCATAAGGAACTGGGGGAGAGCAGGCTCCATGCTGGCCTTGGCTGTGGCAGTAATGGGTCTTGGTCAACTGTCCCTCTGTGGGACAGGGCAGAGCTGGGCCTGACCCCCAGCTTGTCCCTCTTTCCCAGGCTAATGCTGGGCTGCCTGTGCGCCTGCGAAGTGGGGCAGCCCAAACTGGTCAAGCTGGGGTGGCCTGGGCAGCCCAAGCTGGTCAGGGGAGGTTTAAAGCGCTGCGTTTGCAGGTGGTGATGGCCGAGCTCTCACCCCATGTGTCTCCTCCTCCCTTACCACCAGGAGCAAAGAGCCAGTTCCCCTCAATGCCTGGATAAGCGTCTTGTTGGAGAGGAACGGACGCAAAGGGGTAATGAGGATCAACAACAGCGAGAGGGTGATGGGAGAGTCACCGGTGAGTTGATGGGCCAGGAAGAGCTCTCTGGGCTTCCAGCCCTGCTCCTCTCATGTGTGAAATGAGAATTCCCCAGGCTCGTGGGCTTTTAATCTCTGTGGTGCATGGCTTTAAGTGTGGAGGAGGAGCGGGCAAGACCTGGGGAGAAAAGGATGCTGCAGGGCAGAGCTTGCCTGCCTCTCTTAGCTGCTCTGTGGCCTGGCCTTGGGGCTGTAGGACAGCAACTGCTCACCTCTCCCAGCTCTTCCTCCCTCCTTGTCCCCCACCACACGCAGAGCTGCAGCACCTTTGCCAGTGACACGCCTGCCCCGATCCTTAGGTCCATGGTTTCAGGGGGGTGTTTGACTGAGCCCCCCTCTCACCCACACGTGCACCCCCCTGCCCTTTTTTTGCAGATCCTCAGCCGTCCCTGTGCTGGGGCAGGTACCCAAGGCACCCTCGCAGCCCGTGGTGCCGCTGCGTTGGGCCCTTGGGGGTCTCAGCCTGTGCCCTTGGTGCTGGGCTCAGCCCTACATGGTGCTGACTGCGCAGAGCTCGGCCAGGAGGAAGGCACAGAATAGTAAAATCCCCGTTGCACTGTTGCTGCTCAATCCGTTAGTGCCTTCTCTTCTCTTTTTCCAGGGTGGCAGCTTACCTCTCTGACTTCTTCCTGTGCCCTGTCCCCTCTGCACTTCTGTCTCTGCACAAACAGCAGTTCCCTGGGGTTCTGTGGCAGGGCCACTGGCTTTCCTTCCCTCCGCCTTTCCCACGGGGAAGCTGTTAATGCAGGAAAAGCCCCTATTGCTGCTGAACTCATACTTACGATCCACCTAGAAGTGCAGCATCAAGATTGTGCAGCATTCCTGCAAAAGAAGGGAGTTCTCCCTCCCCTCACTCATCTTTTCAAGCTTCTCTCTAAGCGAAGGTTACCCCTGGCTGAGGGTGGCAGCGGCCCCTCCTGTTGCCTTCTGCAGCTCCCCTTCCCCTTCCCTGGCTACCCCGGGCACTGGTTGCAGTGGTGGTCTTGCAGTCCTGCATGTTACGACATTACCCACTGATCTCCCTTTTCTCTCTTTTTCTCTCTCTCCCTTTGATTTTCACTTGTATTTTTCCCTCCCCTGCTGTCTGGATCCCAGAAATCCCGTAAGGTAAAGATAAGTATGACCCACTGCACCTCCATCTCATCTGACATTGGCACGTTGTTCTTTTTTGTTTTCCATTCAGATCTCCGTGTTTCACCCACTCCCCTTCTCATCTGACCAAGCAGCTTTAGGATCTCTGTAGATTAGAGACACTTGTTTCCTGTTCTGTCATTAATTTCCAGCCAGTTGTTACATCTTGTTTCGGAAGCATTTCAATTAATCCGGTCATGTTTCTTGTGTTAACTCCACAAAGCATTAGTTAGTGATTCATATAACTACATCTTTGCCTTGCTGCCGTGCCTCTGGGTCCATCCCAGGTGCTCAGGAAGGGACGTGGCTCCTGTTGTGAACCATGTGGCTCAAGACTCACCTGGGACTTGCCGCGCTGTGCAGTTGGGGTTCAGGGTGACAGCAAGGAGGGAGACTTTCTCCTCCAAACACACAGCCATGTGAGAAGCAGGAGAACCTCCTCTCGCCGTTTGCTGTAGGGGACCTGTAGCAGCCAGATGAACCCAAGCTGAATCCCTCTTACATTTGGGTTTAAACAGGCAAGACTGAAGCAGTATTTGCTCACTTGTCTCCCAGCGCCCTTTACACAGCCTGGTTTGGTGCCAGGTACACGGAGCTCATCCTGCTCCCTGTGCTCGGCAGCGGCTCGCTGCGGCAGCGCCATGGCCAGTAGCCCCAGGCAGGGCAGGGGGGCAGAGGGTGGCCGGGCTGGGGCAGGGTGGGCGGCAGGAGTAGTACAGGGAACAGAGGAGAAGGTGGGAACCTGGTCCCAGGTGGGATGCTGAGCCTAGCCTGCCTTCCCCTGCCCACCCCACCTCTCGGCTGAGGCCGTGCAGGACCCCGGCGTGCTTTCTGAGGGGTGCTCCTGCTCCAGCCTCCGCAGAGATGGCCAGCAGTGCCCCCCACCAGCCCTGCCCCGGAGCACGGGGGACAGACGGGCATTGCTTTCCTTCCCACCAGCCTGGCTCTGGTTGTGCGTGGGTGCCTGCAGTGCTGCCCTGCTCGCAGCCTCCTTTAGTCCCCATGGAGCCGGGCCAAGAGCCCAGCTTGCAGCTGAGGGCTAGCCTGGCATCTTCTCCATCTCTCACCTTCTCTCCTCTCCTCTCTAGGTGCCTCACACCTTCCTGAACCTGAAGGAGCCATTTTATGTGGGGGGAGCCCCTGATTTCAGCAAGCTGGCTCGAGCAGCTGCCATCTCCACCAGCTTTGATGGAGCTGTGCAGTGGGTAAGGCTCTAGCGGGCAGCCTGGGGTAGGGTAGATGTCTGGTTGGGACACACACCATCCGCACCAGCATCACTGGAGAGGGGGGATGAGCCTGGGAGCGGGCTGCCCCAGCACGGGGGTTCATGTTCACTGGGGGGGGGTGCACACTAGGCTAAAAAGTGACAGAAGGAGAGGCCGGGGTGTGTCCCAGGAACACGTAGGGCTTGGGGCTGGATTCTCCCCCTTCCCCTCTGAGGACACTGGCCTTTGACCCCCGCTGGCCCTGCGGAGAGGTGGGGTGATGAAGGCTGATTCTTGTGCTTCCTCTTGCTTCCACGTGCCAGATCTCCGTCAAGGGGGTTCCTGTGCTGAAGGAACAGAACATCCGCAGCGCCATTGAGATCTCCCCCTTCCGAGGTCACCCCTGCACCCAGAAACCCAATCCTTGCCAGAACGGGGGCACTTGCAGCCCCCGGCTAGAGAGCTACGAGTGTGCCTGCCAGAGGGGCTTCTCCGGGGCTCACTGTGAGAAAGGTGAGACTGCCAGGGTAGGGCTGGACGTGGACCCTCACACACTTAGATGTGGCAATGAAACTGCTTCAAAACTGCCAGGGCTGAGGTCTTGTCCTTCTTGTGGCTGCCGGGAGGGATCCGGGGGCGACAAGCTGTGGCATTTGCAGGCTGGCACTGTTGTGTGGCTGGGTAGCTATGCCACTTCTCAGAAATGCAGGCATTACACTGCAAGCGGCAGGGCAAATGCTGCTGCCCATGCTCACCCAGCCCTGCCACCTCCTCCCGTCAGCGCACCCTGAGCCTGGCTTAGGTTCCTGTACTCACTGGGAACAGCCTGGGTCAGAGAAACGTGGTTTGGTGCTGCAGCAGATTCACCTGCCAACTGCCTCCGGATCAGGGGTTCTTCCCCTGAGTTTAGCACTTGGGCCATCGCTAAGCCCAGGTTTCTCCCCAGCTTCAGCCAGGAAACCACCAAGGCTGCAGATTTCATGACAGTTGGCTGCTAAACAGGGAGATGGTTCAAACTCACAGGCTCTAAAGCCACATCAAACCTTTCCAGGGGCTTGCTTAGTGCCACAGTGCTGACATGCCCCAAGGGATGGCAGGTTTGTGCATGTCTTCGTCCTGTTACAAATGCTGAGTGTAAAGGGGGATTTTCCATGTCTCCAAGGATGGACAGGCCATGCTATGTTGCCTGACAGCTCTTCTTTTTCCCACCTCCAGTGATCATTGAGAAGGCTGCTGGAGATGCAGAGGCCGTTGCTTTTGATGGTAGGACATACATGGAGTACCACAATGCCGTGACAAAGAGGTAACTTGGCTGCTGAGCTGAACCAGGGTCAAAACAAGGAGTTAGGGCTGTTAGCAGGAAGAAGAGCTAGGGTCAAAGAAGTCCAATTGCAGTGCTCAAAGAGGGTCAAGCCAAACTGGGGCTGTGAGCAATTGCTTCCAGCTCTTACCTCTGAAGCTGCCTTGCTGGCAGAGGGCTTTCCCAACGCCAGTGCATGGCCAGCTGCAGGACTGGATGCTCTCGTTCTGCAGCCTGTGGACTACCACCTGGGTTAGCATCGTCTGGTTTGGGAGTGGGATAGAGCTGGCTGAGTGCACCCCATGAAGATGGTTAGTGTGGCCTGTGCCCTGCTCCTGGTTGGTGCCTTTCTTTGCCCACACGCTCAGGAACAGGTTGTGGGCTGTGTGAGCTGTGCTGAGGGGAGAGGTAGCTCTGCCCGTGGTTTAATTCACGCCTGCCTGCCAGCTCCTTTGTCTCCCTGGCTGTGGGGACGGGCTGTTGCTGCTCTGGGGTCTGGCTAGCCTCCTCCAGCATCTGCTCGACCCTGACCCTTTGGGCTTGGGGTACGTATTTGGACCCTGTGGTCTCCCTGGCTGGGCTGGTCCCTGGGGCTTCTCTCTCAGGATAAGCAGAGAAGCCCAGGGACCAGTCCAGCCAGAGACCACAGGGTCCAAATATGTGCACTGCAGTCTGGGTCAGTACCCTTCCCCAGCACTGTGCTCCTGCAGCCCCCGTGGTTAATTCCCAGCTCCACGGCACTGGGACAGGGAACTGGATTAGGCTCCGTCCATCTGCCTGTTGCCTAACACACTGCCTGGGGAGGACGTCTGTGTTGAGCTGTTGTTTGTCAGTCTCTGTCTGTCCGTCTCTTCTCAATGTCCTTGTTTCTTTGTTTTCAAGCCACCTGACCAATGAGATCCCCGCGTAAGTACAGTCCTCCCCACTGCCCAACTCTTCCCTGCAGCCATCTGCCCTCCACCACATCTCCCACTGCCACCCCGACCACCAGCCCACCTGCAGGGGAGGTGTGGGAGGCAGAATACGGGCACTTTCCCAGGGGTCTGCCGTGGGCAGGCCTTCCCACGTCAGGGTGGGGAGGACGCAGGTACTAACCGCAGCTCTCACGGCTGTGCAGGGGCCCAAACACAGTCAAAACGCAGCAGGAGCTACGCTGCCTGGCTCTGCTGCAGCCAGGCATTGTCCCAGCAGCCTGCTGCACCTTAGCCTTGGTTTAAACAGATAAGTAGAGAGGAAGAAAATCCCGTGACTTCTCTTCCATCAGCAGCAAAGGCATTGGCGATAGAAATAAGGGGTGCTAGTCCTGCCCTGGTGTTTTTTTCCAGCATGAATGTGGCGTTGCTGCTGTAGCAAGGAAGCCAGGATCTAGCAGAATGTTCCCTGGTCAGGGGTGCGTGGCCTGGGCAACCCCTTAAAACGTGCAGTGCAGCCAGGGGGGCAGAAGAAGGGCCTGGGCAAGCAGATGGGGAGAAGAGCTTCTTCCCCAGAGCGGGCTTGACAGCTATTGATTTGCTGTCTGCCTGTCCTGGTGAGCGGCAGGAGTGGAGGAGAAGCACTGGTACATGCAGCCTTTTTCCCCACTGTGTGGGGAGCGAGTTTGAGTGACACCTGCCCGTCACATCCTCCTCATTTCACCTCATTTTCTGCAAGCTGGGGTCAGGCAGAGGCTCGGGAGGCTGAGTTGCGTGCATGCATGCATGTCAACACCTGGAGAGCCACAGAGCCCATCAGCTGCATGTTTACAAGAGTTTGGGGGTTGCTCTGGTGTTTTGGAAAGGGCTTTCTAGGAGCCGAGCATCCTCCTAAGCTTGACAGTGCCCTACAGCAGTGAGAGGCATGCAGTTGCCCACACAACGACTCTGCCCACGGGGCAGGGTGCCCAGCAGCCCCTCTGCCACGGACACGAGCCACATCCCTGCAGATGAGCAGAAAGCTGCTACCTTTGTGTCCTGCCTCTCCCAGCGCTCTGCAAAGGGAAGGTCACCATTCCCAGCCTCCTCCCGGCCTGAGCCAGCCTATTTTGGCTGTGCATGCCCCATCCTGCAAGGGAGCTTAGCGCTTCTCCCCAGATCCCTCTGCTGCGATTTGGCAGCAGCGCTCACTAGCCCTGCCAGGGCTGAAGGACCCATTGGGCTGCCCATAAAAAGTAGTTTCTTCTGCCTCCAGGCAGACACCGGGGTGTGCCTTGGGCCGGACTAACACTCCAATTGCTTCTCTGGGCTCTGCTGGCCATGACATGCCCGTACATTTTATTTTTTTGAGCATACATTTTTATATATACCTCTAGTTCGAGCTGATTGTAATGCCAGGGGTGTAGCCCCTAACGCTTGCAGGCAGTGCCAGCAGGACAGCTGTAGCCCTGGGTTTCCCCTTCCCCACGCACACCCTGCTGCCCAAGTGTCCCAAGGCTGACTCAGAGGCCTTACGGGACGATTCAGCTCTCTGCCTAGATGGGATCCCACTCTGCAGCATCCCAAAGAACCAGCCTGAGTCCTGCCTGCAGGGCTGTCCGGGAAAAGATCCTCATGCAGGGCTGCTTACCAAAAACTCCTTTCCTCCATCCTCCCCATCCTTGGAGGCTCTTTGCTGGATACACATCCCAGCAGGACAGCATGGGTGATAGCAGAAACACTAATAGTCCTGACCCAGGAGAACATTGCAGAGTCCCTACACCACTGGGACGAGGCTGTGTTTGCTCGTTGGCTTTATTACGCTCACCCTGGCTAAGCAACAACTTGCAAACCTGTCTCGCTGGCTTGAGGAAACTCAGCCCCAAGGAGAGCAGCGGAGGCTTCCCGCTGGGAACGGGCGGTTTGCTCAGCTTGGGTGTAGTGTAGGGTGAGGAGCTGTCGCTGCTGAGCAGGGCTGTTCCCTCTCTGCGAGCGGGGTGGGAGGGAAGGGGCTCCTCTGCTCTCCCGCGCTTATGGCATGCTCCCCTTTCTTCCTGCATCTAAGTCCCGAAGCGCTGGACTATCCCGCGGAGCCCAGGTGAGTCTGTGCCAGGCTTTCAGCTCTTGTGTCTCGTGCCCTGCTCTTGCTGCCTCAGCATGTCTCTTGTCTCTGTGCGTGTTCTGTGTGTCCATACCCTTGGCTTTTTATTTATAAGGGATACAGCTCTGCAGATGGTAAGAGTAAACAAAAAGGAAGCCCTGTCCTTCCAGCGTAGGAACAGCATTCCTTTCCTACGCAGCTCTAACTCTGGCCCTCGCTCCTGGGGGACCCAGACAGCAAATAGCCATGGGTGAGGAGAAGGGCTGAGTTACCTTGACAATACAGCCTTCGTCCAGCCCTTTGGATGCAGTGTCCCTTGGGAATAAAAAGCTGTCTGTGTTGCCCATGTTGTCTGGTCTGTGTGAGCACGTGTCAGCGATGTGTCTCGGAGCATCCCAGGAAAGGGGGGGGCAACTCCACGTGGCAACGTTGCCTGTTGCCAAGACCTTTTTGCCTGTTCCAAAAGGGACTGAACAAAGATGGGGATGCCAAGGTGGGGGAAATGCTGTTCTCCCTTCACTCCTCCCTTGGGAAAAGACACCGTGTCTAGGGAGAAGGAAGGCTTTGCTGCCTCTGTGGACAGTCTCCGTCCCCTTCACGCTGCGGGGTGCTCATCATCTCACAGTCCCCTGCCTCAGGTTCCCGTTGAGCTTGGGTCAAGCAGAGGCAGTGGTAGAGCAAATGTTTCCTGTGTGGTGATGGCATGAGGCAGGGTGCTCCCCCAGTGCCCCAGCTCTGCTTGCACCTCGGACGCCTGCCAGCAGGATGGTGAAATGGTGTCGACCCCAGCTCAGCTGCTGCCAACAGAGCCCTCTTTGTCCCGACCTCTCCCAAATCAGAGGCAGCTCTGCAGGGGAAACCCTTCTGCTGGCCAGCCTGGTGCTGTTCACCAGCCCACGTAACAGACCTCTTCCTTCAGCACCTGCATATGAGGAGGCAAAACCAAGGCTTGTGTGTCACCTTGCAGGGCTTGATGTGTCTGAACCTTGTGCTCCGTGGAGAGCAAAAGCAAGGGGCAGTTGCCCAGTGTCTTTGGAGGTTCAAGCTGGATGTTGGGGAAGACACTTCATCCCCGGGAGAACTGTGCAGCTCCCTCTCAGGTCAGCAGAAAGATGGAGGAGCTCCAGTCTTGGTGTTCCCAAGCTCAGCTGGGCAGAGCCACGGCCGCCCCCATTTAGCACTGGCAACGGTCCTACTCGGAGTAGGAGCTGGGTTAGAGACCTCCAGAGGAGCGTTTCTTTGATCCTGTGGCCTGGTTTAGAGCTTTACATCTGCTCCCCCTGCCATGCACCAGACCTTCTGAGCAGGCCTGGGATATTGCAAAGGCTGTGACCCCTCCAGTGCAGCAGGTAGGGACTGAGACCACATGAGTAGCTTGATGCCAAAGGTCGTTTGAAGGTTATTCTCAGCGGGTGAGCCAATTAGCTGGGAACAAAGAAGGCTGTTCCGAGGAGCTGACTGGCTGCCTGTTGCTTTTGTAACCATGTTTTTAACTCTGCTCTGTCTTTCCCCCGTGCAGCGAGAAGGCCTTGCAGTCAAACCGCTTTGAACTAAGCATCAAAACAGAAGCCACTCAGGGGCTGATCCTGTGGAGCGGGAAGGGGCTGGAGCGATCAGATTACATCGCCCTGGCCATCGTGGATGGCTTTGTACAAATGACCTACGACCTCGGCTCCAAGCCAGTCGTCCTACGATCCACGGTCCCAGTCAACACCAATGAGTGGATCCACATCAAAGCATACAGGTGTGAAGCCTAGCAGGGAGGGGAGAGCAGGGCCGTGGCAGGTTGCTCTGGGATGGGCACGCTGTGAACCAGGGAGCCTGAGTCACGGCCGTGGCTCCATGCCCTGTGATCCCCAAGGGTCACTCCTCTTCTTGGATAATAATAAAGGGGGAGGCATGTGGGCAGTGCCGCGGTGGAGGGGCGCGTGTTGTGACACGCCTGGAAATGTCAAAGGGGCAGGCTCGAGGAGGTACGAAAGCTTCGTGCCTTTTATTTTAGCTGGCTGAGTGTTTGACATTCTGTTCGTGTTGAGCCCGAGCCGTCCCTTTTATTTTTATTGGTGGTGGGAGTGGCGAGCGGATCATGCGGCTGGCATGCCAGGGATTGCTGCGGGTGGGTCTGGAGGGCGCGGGAGGAAGCCGTGGCTGCTGGCAGGGCCGGTGACGGGGCTGTGGGATGCCCAGGGGATGCTGGAGGGGAATGCTCACCGCCGGCTCTGTGGCCAGAGGGAAAGCTTTGCCCCCCGCTCCTCTCCAGCCGAGGCCCAGCATCTGGGTTTAGCATAAAGTAAAGGGCAGCTCTGGGTTTTTCCTCTAAGGTTGCTAATCATCTTCTGTTTCTTCTTCCCTCCCTGTGGGAGCAGGGTACAGAGAGACGGTTCCCTTCAAGTTGGCAACGAAGCCCCCATTTCTGGCTCTTCTCCGCTTGGTGCGACGCAGCTGGATACGGACGGGGCCCTGTGGCTGGGTAAGTCGGTGTGGGAAGGGTGAACCTCCTCCGTGCCCCTTGCTGAGGGGCTCAGCGCTGGAGCCGGGATGTTGATGCTCCCCCACTTGTTTCCATGCGACACTTTTTGCCTCCCAGGTGGCTTTGACAAGTTTGACCTAAAAAGTCCCCTGCGTGTTCGCTGCTGACTAGGGCAGGATGCTGGTGGCAGCTGAGGGACACCCAATGCCAGTCCTTTCCATGGCCCCCTGACCCCTGAAGAGAGCCGTTAGCTGGCCCGTGGCTCTGGATCCCCTGGTGCCGACGGCATGGAGCACCCTCTCCCTCTTCAAACCAGGAGTGCTCCCACTGCCCCATTCCCTCACATGTGGAAGCCTCCATTAATTCATGAGCCTCCCAGATGTTACTTGCTTGGGTAACTGGTTCCCGAAGGCGAAATGGCTCATTTGAGAGAAGGGTACTTCTGTCTGGAAATATGTAAATACCCAGATTTTAAATGTTGCTTTATTTGCATAACATAGAATAAGCAGACGTGCCAAAACGTGCCCACGTGTGCAGCAGAGTCAGTTCCATTCGTGTTGACGTACTTTGATCCTGCAAACAGGGAGTTTGGCCCGCTGAATCTCTCTCACACTGCCCATGGCAGATCTGTCAGCACAGACAGAAGCAGATTTGTCCCGTAACGGCTCAAATCGGCAAGAAATCCACCCACAAATGTAGGTTAATTGTGCTTAAATACAACCAGGACTAATCTGAGCTAAGAGGATAGTAAAGTCCTTTTTGGAGCCTGAAGGGATGAAAGAAGGATGCCCAGAGATGGGGGATGCTGCAGGTCCTGGGCTTCGTCTCTTGAGGAACTTGCATGACTCAAGTCTCCATCTGTACGTTAAGGACCAGGATTCTCCCCAGGCAGGTCCTGTAGCAATTCTAGTGTTCATGATTGCAAAGAGGGGCACAAGGGCCACAGAAATCAAGGGACAGAAATGTTCATCCAGGGGTTTTGATCATCTGTAATGAAGAAAGAGTGAAATAGATTCTCTTCACACTTTTCAGAAGCATCTGTTCTTATCTTCCCAGTCTAAGCCTGTAGTTTCAGGTCTAACCTGATTTACAAAGAGTTCATACTCAAAAATGTGGCCTTCCCTCTTTAAAGACAGTATTCCAGACACCATCTCTCATTCTGAAACCAACCTAGAAGTCACGTGGAAAGCAGAATTTTTCCATAATTCCATAATGATAAATTTTTGCCTGCCTTCCCCACTGGCTTTTCCAAAGGGTTTTTTTGCAATCAGCCTTTCATTATTTTGGGGCCTGGAATGAGCCATAGTTGACGTTTCAGTAACTGAAATAAAATTTCGTTTGAATTTGGGACCACCCTGCAAGGAAATTAAGTATTTTTAAGTTGAAACAGTATTTCAGAACGCAAGTTACCATTTTAAGCGTCTTCAGGAAACCTTTATGTACTGGTTGGAACCAGCATTTCTCTGATTGAAGTGGAAATCAATACTGGCCAGGAAGGAGGGTTTCGCCTGCTGTTGAGGAGGGTGTCCCCAGCAGTGCTGGCACTGGGGCAGGCTGCTGGCCCACACGGCAGTGTCCTGTGCCCTCCCAGCCGACCTTCTGCGCTGTCTCTTGCAGGGGGAATGGAGAAGCTGAGCGTGGCTCACAAGCTGCCCAAGGCCTACAGCACTGGCTTTATTGGCTGCATAAGGGACGTGATTGTCGACCGCCAAGAACTGCATCTGGTGGAGGACGCTTTAAACAACCCCACGATATTACACTGCTCAGCCAAATAGACCCCCAGGGACCCTTCCTTCTCCTTCCCTCCCTCCTGCCTATTGCTGTAATTATTTTCTATTTTTGTAAACTTATTGCTTTTTATATTTTGGGGGGAGGGGGGAAAGGGAGGGGAGGAAACACCTTTTCTTTTGGGTTATTTGTTCGGTTGCAGTCTATCCAGGTCAGTCAGACTCTAATCAAACAGCAGCAACAAAGAACAAACCTTGAACCAAGTCTCCAAGAAGTGACAGAAGAACTTCCCCATTGCACCTGCATTGTAAATCTTATTCATACTTGAAGCTTCTTTTTGGGTTATTTTTCCCCCTCCTTACTTGTGTTCTTGGGTTGTTGTTCACGCCCGTGGGGGAAAGGATGCTGGTGCTGGCGAGACGCGTGGCCTTCGTGGATTCACTGCCTTCCCATCTCAAGCCTGGCCCCGAAGTCCCCTCCGCAGTGCTGGCTGAGCAGGGAAGCGGCCATCAGAGAAGCGGGAATTACCTCCCTGCTTTGGGGCCTGGCTCTGCTAAGCCTTCTCCTGCCCTGTGTTCACCCTATCTCCCTCCTCCCCCCCCTTCCTCTCACTATAATTTATGTGTGTAAGAATCTCAAGTGCTTTTCTCCTTTATGCTCTGTTAAAATCAGGGATGCCATGCACTGGAAGAGAGACCAAGGTCTGCTCTGAGCAGGCAGAAAAGCATTGCTCTTTGGTTGTCTTATGACTGTTTGCTGGACTAGGAGGTGCTGTGGGGGAAATATTGATTTCTCTGTTTGCTCTCCTCCTCCTCCTCTTGGACATGTGCAGAAGCAGCTGTGAAACCTCATTTCCACGCTTTGTGTTTATCCAGACATGTCCTAACCACCTGCTTGCCCTGGCTGCTCTTCCCAAGAGCTTCTGTGTACCAAGCGTTGCCCTCCCGTGCACCAGTGAGAACTTGCAGCACGTCTTCAAGAGCTGGAAGTGCTCTCCCCTTCCAGCACTGCCCAACGGGCTGCGAGGGCACGGGGACTGCGTCCCTTTTCACTTTAAAAAAAAAAAAAAAAAATCTGTTGGATGCATCCTTCCATGACCCATGTCTATTTTCCAGCCTCCGGGCATGACTTGCCCTCTCTCTACCATGAGGATGCTTGCAGCTGGCCAGCATGTGAATCTCTAGAGCTGGTTTTAGAGCCTCTCTCATGAAGAGTAATTGGAGTTTTACCTTTGACTTCAGTTTTTTGCAATGCCCAGTGCAATGCAGGGTCTTCCACACCGTGATCAAAGCTCCTCTGGAAACTGCCAGCCCAGCAGCAATAGCTTCGAAGGAAACGGGAACAGGGCGCGAGCCAGCTGTCGAGGCAGTAGTGTTTGGGAGGTGGTTTTTTAAGTATTTTTCTTCCTCCATGCAAATCTTGAAAGCAAGTAGTGTGGTGCCAATTGCAAAGCCAGTATGTGTGGTTTTGAGTGAATGTATGCGTGTTTGCATTGTCTTGTCAGCCAGCACACATTTGCATGCGAACACTGACTCTCCTGTAAGCAGGAGAAGAACAAACGGATTGCAGCTGTGAAAGAAATGACCCACTCCGTTCAGGTTCCTTCTGCAGGGGAAGAATTTACTGATGCTGTGTAGCACCTATGTCCCTTTTCACCAGTGGGACACAACTGTGTCCCTTTCCCACCCTGAGATGGCACCTGGCATTGTTCTATGTCAAACCAGCTTTATCAAGTGCACAGAATTAATCTGAAGGATCCCGCCGGGTATCAAATGTTAATTAATAGCCAGGGTGCCGTCATTTTGCAGTTTTACCCTAAGTTTCTAGCACACCTTGTAGTGTACCTATACAAAGTAGTGCACTGCTTAAAAATGTTGTTTCTTGGCACTAACTTTTGAGCCATGAAAAGTCAAGTTACTTTTCTCAGGGTGAGCTGTGAACACAGATGTAACAAAGGGGAAGAACGTAGTGTAAAACCACTTGGGTTTCCTTTTTCTTTTTGTTTGTTTTTTTTTCTTTTTTTTTTTTCTCCAATTAAATCTATCCCTCCCCCCCCAATCTATGCCTAATCTATTGACATTCCTCTAAAAATCCAGTGGTTAAATATTTCACGGGGGGCTGCGCCCGCTGTGGATGGAGACCCCGCTCTGTGTGTGTGTGTGTGTGTGTGTGTGTGTGTGGCTATACCACATTTTAAGTGGCTACTGTATATAAATTGTGGTTCCTGGTGGGGAGTACTGTGACTGTGTTGTGAAAGGGATGGACTGCTGTATTTTTGATCCCAAGGTGTAGATAGACAGGGGCTAGCTCGGACTGCAGGAGGGGGTGGGATGGGAGGGAAGGGCGAGACCCTCGCTCTGTGTTTTGAGACCTGCGTTGGCCGAGACAGAGGGCTGGATGTGCCAACTCCAGAGGGAGAGGGGCATGCGCAGAGGAAGCTGCTAATTTTCAAAAATGCCACTGAAATGAAGCCAGGGTCACTGCAAAAAAAAAAAAAAAAAAAAAAAACAAAAACCAACAAACAACTAAACAAAAACAAAAACTCTGTCTGCTTTTGCTGGGGCTTGGAAATGCCTTAAAACAGGACCTTGCGTCCTCGTCAAGCATCTTGAACCAAGGTCAGATTCAGCAGTGCTCCCTAGGGGCTGTGCACTTAACTTCGGCTTTATTTTTAATAGCATTTATAACATGTATGTACAAAAAAAAGACATTGAGGTTTGGGGGTTTTGTTTTTTGTTTTTGTTTTCCTGGGTTTTTTTCTTTTTTAAAAAAAATATGTCCATGTGGCTTCATTTATAGGGTAAATTAATGACCATTGTGAACTGCTGTATGAATTCTGAAGGGCAATGCGCAGTAGAGGAGCAGCATGATATAACCATTACTAACTTGTGTCTTTTGTCAATCACCATGAAATAAAGTTGGAAAACTATTAAATATGTTTTTAAGGGGCCTTTTGCTTTTTTATTCTTTTTGTACTGTCTGCCTCACGCTTGCTCGCTGGTGTATGTCCATCTCCTGGGCAGATACTGTGGGAAGTCAAACCAGCATCTCCATTTCTATTGTCCTTAGAACCCGAGTGGATCATGCAGGTATCTGCTGTGTCTTCTAAACACAGCCTCTTTATGAACGCCGACCTCAATCCTCTCCACCCAGTATTTGCAGGAGGAGGACTCCTGTCTTTACATCCCCTGCTCTGTGGCCATCTGATCGCACGCCGAATGGTTTCACCTATTCAAGTATCTACTAGCTTTTCCTTCTTTGCCGTGCACACCTTTATCACCTCTTCTCAGGTAGCATTTTCAGAAGAGGCTTTGCATCCCATTGACATCACACCATGTCAGCAAGGCTGAAGTGATGCTTCTGTGGCCTGCTTCTCGACGATGGCAGCAGTTTCCTCTGGGTTTTACCCTCTGTAAGTGAGGAGCCTTGGAAGTCAGCCGCAAGCACGCAAGCAGGATGTGGTTTGAGATGTACCAACATCTAAGTTCCTGCTCTAAACAGGTCTTCCGAATGGGGCCTTTCCACCTGGCTCTCGGATTTCTGCAGCTTCTGCCAGAAAAGAAGGTGGGAGGTGGAGAATTTTGTTCAATCAAGAGCTCACGTTCATTCAAGTGGTGTGAAGTGGGAAAAGAACGCGGGTTTCCTGCCAGTCAGGAGGCAGCTAATTTAGCAAACGGGGTTGTTTTGCTATCCAGCAATGCTGCACATTTCATCGGTGCCTGCACCGGCTCAGCAGGAACCGGCTTTTCAATGGACAACGAGACGCCGAAGACTCGCAATGGGAAACAATGAGGCCAATGTCTGAACAGCCACAGGGGTTGCACAACTCACAACTGGGGCCATGTTTTGCTCCAGATCAGCCTCCTGGTGCAGCGTCTTCTTGACAATGACCTTATTATGCCACGACAGGCATGGACTTGCAAAGTCAGTACCTCTTTCAGAGGCGGTTTGCCAGCTTGCTGCAAAGCAGTAGGAGAAAAAGCTATCGTTGTCTTGGCCAAAAGGAAAAGCTGAGCTCTGGCAGCTGGACGGGTTCTTTTTTTTTTTACAACAGGCTAGAAAAACCCATTGTGAGGGGAAAGAGGAAGGAAAGAAGGAGAGGAGCCACACTGGGAGCACGCTTGGGCAGGCAGCAAGCATGACTCAGGGGAATGGCCTGGCCACACTTTCTGGCAGCCCGAGCTGTGAGAGCTCAGAGCTCTCAGGAACACGCCGTGTGCGCATCGAGCCCAACTGCCCAGCCTGCACTTGCTGGGAGCGAAGGCAAACAGAAATCTCTTCCAGAAGGAGAAGGCAGATGGGGTTGGATGGTCTTACCCATCCTCAGCTTGCTCTGGCACCCCTAGCCTCTGGGAACAGCTAGCCCTGACGGCCGGTTGTAGCCTCTCAGTGCCAAGGAGCTTCACTCCGGGGCTAAAAGCAGCTTATTCCGTTCTTAAACCACTGAGTTGAGGCTTCAGCAGGATGGGGGGGAGGCTGGTGGGGGACAGAAGTGAAGGGCAGTGGGTGTGTTGCTTTAGCCATGGTGTGAATGCTCTCACAGTGCTGTCCCATGGGATTTCGATCTGGTGGGTCCCCTTGTGTGGTTGCCCGCTTCCCGAGTGCTTAGCTGTGAAGTGAGAGACTGGTTAGCTTGCTTGCGCCTGAGGGTGCTGCTGGTAGCCCGGCTGGTGGGGGCTAGTCCTTCTGGAATGTGGCAGACCAGACCTAAACCTCTGCTGGGTGCTAGTGGTGGCCAACATCCCATTCCCCTGCAGCCTGGGGTAGCGGCTGTTAGTAGATCTGGACTCCTCAGCTCCATGGCTGCTTGGCCTCATTTTTTCTTTTTTTTTTTTTTCTTTTTTTTTTTTTTTTTTCAGCGTGTGTGATTGTGATGGGGAGCAGGAGCCATGGATTCCTTGCCCTGCTCTGCTGCTGACGCAGCCTGTGCCTCAGGCTGGTCGCTTCCACTCCCTGCACTGTACTCTCCTTGCCTGCCAAAGCAGCCTAATGATCCATTACCCTGCTCTGTGATGTATCTTTGTGTCTCTGGCTGGGAAAACGTGATTATTCAGAGAGAAAAGAGGCTGCAATGTTTGTAAGTAGACAGCTTGGCCCATGAACACGGTCTTTCTGGCTCTTCATCAAAGGAGCCTGTCACAGTGTCTGCCGTTCAGGGCTATTTAGGTGCCCTGAATTTAGGGGTTTATGGAGCTTTTGCAGCTGTGGTCAGGAGTTAAAGCATCTTCCCAAAGCTGAGCACACGCAGTGGTGCTGGGCTGCCTAAGCTGCTGTCTCTCAGGTGGATGTAACAAGAGGGTCCTGGCTGTTTCATAGCAAAATGTGGACCTGAGGGAATGGGACCAGTTCACAGTGTCTGACCAAATTGCACCTGGGGGAATCCCCTTCCGTCAGACTGGAAACCCAGTTGCTTCCTCTGCATTCCCAGCACCGGCTGTTGGAGAGCTGTGTGATGTGGCTGTGTCCTGGTACCCAGCTACGCCATTCCAGCCTGCACATGAGAGAGCAAGCGTGCAAATCTGCACTTATATCAGTGAACAGGTCAGGAGGGAAATGATATGTGACTTTGAGTAGCAGTGGGCGTCCTCTGGATGACTGATGCTGCTGAAATGGGATCTTTATAGCTGTCCTCACGGCAGATAAGGCACCTGGGGGCGTTGTTCCCAGAACTTAACATCTTCAGAGACACTTTCCATAGAGAGTCTTAACCCAGAGATCAGCCTGGACACAAAGGCTCCTGATGAGTTTTCCCCCCGAGCCTCCTGTCCTGTGTCACTGCTTCCCCCCCTCCAGCAGCAGCCACATTTTGGTGGCACGTCAACCCTATTCTCACTGGGGACCTTCTGCCCTGTCCCCTGGGATTTCCCCAGCCCAGGCACACACTCTGTAATTGCAAGACAAACATTATGCCTCCCTGAGAGTGTTCTCTTTTCTTTGCTTCTAGCCATGCTGCCAGTATCGTCCGGGTTATTCGTATGTGGCATTTCCAGCCGCTCTCCCACCCCTGTACATACTCCTAGGAGAACATATAGATCAGAGCTAAAAATATGCTCTCCTCTGCCTGCAGCAGGAAATGTCTCAGGGCTGGGGAGGAACATCAGACCCCAGAGCCCCTGAGCTGGTTGCTGAAACCCATCTTCTGCTCTCTGAGCCAGCTATGCCGGGCACACAGGAGCCGGGCTGCTCCCCCATTGCTGGGCCACACAGCAGAAGAGGTGCCCCCAGCAACTACCTGGCAGCCCGAAAAATCTGCCCTGGCTGGGGCAAGCATAGCAGGGTAGGGCCTGGCCACCATTAAAGCCTCTCCCAGCCAGCCACCAGCTGAGACAGAGCAGGTTGGAGAGCAGATGGGGTCACCCAGACATCTGGCACCTCCGCTATGGTCATGGTGCGTTCCTGTTGCAGCAGGTCCCCTGAGGGGCTGGCACCAGCCCAACACCCACAAAATGGGGTGTTCTGGCTGCAGAGTCTGGATTTCTCTGCTTGGTATTTCCATGGGATCAAAGCATTCCAATGGCCAGGACACAGGAGGGCTAAGATGTCGCAAGAGGAGACCATATTCACCAGTTATCTGCACCCTGGTTGCATGGTCTAAAAACCAGTATCTTACAACAAGGGGGAGATCTGTTCTAGGGGGTTTCTTTTTGATCTGTTTTTAACCAAGAAGCTGAACAGCAGTCCCCTCCCCGGCCATGTGCATTGCCCTGAGAAATGGTCTTGTTCCCCTTCGCCATATGAGACAGGCATACACAGAAATCCCAGTTTGGTCTCTCACAATGAAGTCTCAGTGCTATGAAAGAAGGTCCCAGTAATGAGGAGCCTCAATGGCAGGGGAAATGAGGAAGGAGAGGACAGGGGTCATTGTTATCAGGGTTGCTATTTGGCCTCTGTGGTCCTCGTTGCCCCATGAGCAATCCAGTGGCATGCAGAAAAGCTATGCGACCCGCCAGTCCTCCTTGCTGAGAAATGAGCTGGCTCCTGCTGCCAGCTCTCTGGGTATTCCCCGAATAGACATGGAATTCGCTGAGTCTTATTATAGTTATAAAACTGCTATTTTTGACACTACGGGTAGACTGGGGGGGTGCTTGCTGGCTGTACCCTGGCTTTTTCTCTCTCTTGGACAGCTGGCTTTGTTTTCTCACCCAGCATTCATGAAAGGTGCCAGATTCAGGGCATTTCTTTGGGTTAATTTCTGACTTTTATGCGAAGCAGCATATATTTGACATGAGTTTGTTAAAGGCCTCTGAATTTACAATTCAGATGGCAAAATGTGCTCTGTTTGTCTAAAGCGTATAGCATGCCTATAGCACACCTGACCCCAGCTTACCCCAGTGGAAGATTTGGGTGTCACCATCTCACCAGAGTCACCGGGTGAGATATGGGTGTCACTGTCTCAGCATAGGCATTGGGGTGAGAGCGGGGAACCCGCTCTGGGGACATTGTGCCCTCCTCACTCCAAAGCAGCCCCTGAGCTGGGGGCATTTAGGGATAACAGCAAACGTGGCCGAGCCTTGCCAGACTCGGATGCTCAGTGCCTGGTGCCTTGCTTTGCTCTCTCGGTAACATGATTCTCAAGTCTTTGTGGACTCAACACCAAAATCTACACCTTCAATAGTGTTTGGGTGCTGAGTGCCATCTGAAATTGCTGCTGGCGTGGATTCTCGTGTGCTGGTGATACTGGGGTGCTGTGGAACCGGCTGGTGAGGAGCGTGGACATGCCACGCACTGAGAACATGCTTGCCAGCCTGGGGGGGTGAAGGAGCACTGGCAACCAGAAGGCCAATGGCTGCAGGGTGGAGGGGCAGAGGGGAGGCTGTGTGTTGCTTGCTGGGGGCTCAGCACTGTGTCTGCCAGGACCAGGACCCCCCAGACCATGACCCCTGGACCAGGACTCCTGGATGAAGTTCCACAGACCAGGACCCCTGGACCAGGTTCCCTGGACCAGAACCCCCAGACCAGGTTCTCGGGACCAGGATCCGTGGACCAGAACCTGGATGAGGTTCCCGAGACCAGGTCCCCTGGACCAGGATGCCCCGGACCGGGATCCCCAGATCAGGTTCCCCAGACCAGGACCCTCCCAGGCCAGGACTCCCCCAGGCCAGGACACCCTGGACCAGGATGTCCCCAGACCAGATTTCCTGGACCAGGATCCCTGGACCAGAACCCCCCCAGGACCAGAACCTCCCAGACCAGAACCCCCAGATCAGGTTCCCTGGACCAGAACCTCCCGACCAGGACCCCCCCCAGACCAGAACCCCCAAGACCAGGACCCCCAGACCAGGTTCCCTGGACCAGAACCTCCAGACCAGGACCCCCCCGGACCTGAACCCCCCAGACCAGGACCCCCCAGACCAGGTTCTCTGGACCAGGACCCCCCGGACCCGGGCGCTCTGCTCCGGGCTGCCCAGAGGAGTCACGTCCCGGCTGCCCGATGTGGAGCGGCACGGCCGGGAACCGGGGCGCTCCCCCCCCCCCCCCCCCCCCCCCCCATCCCTAAACCCGGCAGCTCGGGCGGGGCGGGGCGGAGGGCGGGGATTCCCCTACGTCACAGGGAGGGGTTTCCCCGCCGGGCCGGGGCCCAGGCGTCCCGCCGGTGCGGGCATTCGGCGCGGAGCTCCGCGGAGCCATGACCTCCCGCAGGTAAGGGCCCAGAGCCGCCCCGGTGCGGGTTCCCCGACGACGGCCGCTCTCTGCTCCCCCCCCTCCACACCCCCACCCGGGGCACCCGCGGCTCCCGGACACGCTTCCTCCGGCCCCGGCTGGGGCGAGCTGAGCGGGCTCGGTGGCTACGAGCAGCCTGTGCCCCAGCCCGGGCACCGGCCCGCAGCCTGCTCCGGTTCTCCCCGTTACCCCCTTTGGGGGAGAGCGCTCCGGTGCCAGCAGCAGAAACCCGCTACCTTCAAGCATCTTGCCTCGGCAGGCTCTGTAACCGATGCTAGAGGTGCTGAAGAGGGGGGACGCCAAACCGGGGCCGAGCTTTCAAACTTGATTAAAATATCTCTGTGGGCTGTGAGCTGAAAAAAAAAAAAAGACAAGACACTTTGGTGCATCTGGTGTGCTGTTGGTGCCTCCCTCCCCCAGCTTTTCTTTAAGAAGATGTTTTAAAGCTTCAATCTTTTTTTCTCGGTGGCGGTGGGAGCTGGTGTGACTTAGGGGCATCGTCCCTTCTCGGTTCCCCCTTCTCGGCCCTGGTTTCAGAAGGGGTCAATGGCTGCCCACTGGATGGGCTCTTCCGTGCCCGTTTGCCAGCTCAGGGAGCCCAGTTGCATGCCCAGCTCCCCTGTGCTGCAGGGCAGAGGGGTTTCTTAATAGCTGGTTTGGGGGTTCTTCATTCTTGCCCATCCTTTCCTGGAGAGACAGCCTTCCGGAGATCTGAAAAAGCGTTTGTTGCTATTAGAAGTCAAGTGTGTTTTGAAAAATCCTGGGGCGGGTGGTGGCTGGGGAGCAGCCGTACAGCTGATGGTCACTTCAAGCTGAGAAATGGGATCGGTTACAGGCCAGGGAGTGCTTGTTTGGTGTTGGTACAGGACCGAACACGGGCAGGTCATGAGCGGGGTTTCTGCAACCACCTCCTGAACATGTAATAACTCCACATTATCCTCATGCACGTTCCTACCATACCAGCAGTCAGGGGCTTGCTTGGTTTCTGTTTTTTTTTGGGTCTCTTCTTGCCATCCAGCACTGGCTGTACAAGTGCTGAGCCGTGTTTTGTGAGCGTCTGGTGAAAAGCGTGCAGAAGAAGTTTAGGAAGAGGCAGTGTTCATCTGGGCGGTGCCGCGTTAAGTTATGAAACATGGTTGCTGATAGGTGATGGAGTAAAAAGCAGAGGGCTGGGACTTCGGGCCCCTGGATTTAATTCTCGGCTCTGGTAGTGGTCTCTGTGCCCACAGGCAAGTCAATATTTGTCTGTACTGTCTATAGCTTGCTAGCTCCACCCTTTCGGGCAGCTACCTGGGGCAGCAGACTGCTAGAGACAGCAAAATGGTTGTAATGCTGCTGCCAACTCAGCCCTTGCAGAAGTCCTGAGAAACCTGGCCAGCTAGTAGTACTGCTGCTGAGAAGGGGTCAGAGTGGTGCGGGCTGGCTTTTGTGGGGGGTGTGATTGCTCCCGGCATCTTTTGCTTCCATCCTTTCTACCTGTGCCCTAGAGTGCTGTATTTGCTGCTCCTGGTTCTGTAACACTGCTCGGGTCCTTTTTGTGGCAAGATTGGCTTGGCCTCAGCCTTTCTTCTCTTGCCTAGAAGGTAGGGTGCCTACAAGACTTGTACGGCATCTTTCTCTTCTGCCAGAGCCCTGGCTGATGCTGTTCTCCCTCTGGCTCCAAGTGTGCCTTGGTTCTGCCCAGGTGGATCCACTGAGATCATGACCTGTGCAGATGGAGCGTTGAGAGGCTGAAGTGCTCCCTGGCGAGGGATGGTCGCTGCAAGGCCCAACTGAAGTATTAAATAGTGGATCCTTTGCATATTGTTAGCATCATACCTACATCTTTCCTTGCAGGTGGTTCAGGCTTGAATGGGAACCCTTGGAATTAAGGGCACTTTGACATTAATAGGCTTATGGGCTGAGTTACAAAGCTGGCAGCGTGGAGCTGCTGAAAGCCAGTGTACCGTTGGCCTGTTGTGCTGAAAGAGGGTATGGAGAAGCAGGGGGATCTGTGAGGAAGTGGTTTCTCAGTAGCTTCATCCCAGCAGAGGTGCTGGTTCCTCTCTTCAAGGACCACCTCTGTGCCTGTGTATTTGCTTTGAGTCAGTGGGCTGCTGTGAGGCTGTCGCCAGCTGAAGACACTGGGAGCTGCTGTGGGTAACAAGTGTGGCTGTGGACCATCGCTCGGGTTTGGAGTGTGCATGAGCGTGCTTGTTCTTTTCAAGGAATGCACATGGAAGGCAAAATAAACCTCTTTCTGGGTGTCTGGTTCTGTAAGCTCTCCTGGTGGCTATGCCGTGTTGTGGGGAGAGGCACCGGGGACTGGTGGGTGCTGGTCACACTGGTTGTGGTCTTCTGAAAGGCCACGCTAGCGAGCACAGGGGCCAGCCTGGAAAGCCGTGACCATGTGTCAGCATGGGGGTGTGTGTGACATGAGGGAGAATCAAGCCGTGGCATAGAAATAAAACAAGTTTGTTGCCGTCAGCCTAAACCACAAAGCTGTTGCAAACACTGAGCTCCAAGCTGCTGCCAGGCCCTTATTGTGTTATTTTTAAAAAAACAGCTTGTTGAAAGAATGACCATTTCTTTCCCTTTCCCAGCTTTACTGGCATGTGACCCCTCAACTGCAGGAAGGGTTTGGAGGTCAGAGATGTACCACTGCCCAGCAAGGACAGAGAAATCATGGTTCTTCTGGAACAGCGAGACCCCAGGAGTCTAGGAGTAACTGCAACCCCTCCTCTGCTTTGGTGCTTATGTCCGCTTGCAATTAGAGGCCTTTTGCTGTGATGTAGAGATCTTGTGGATAAACCTCACATCCCCACTGCTGACCTGTAGCTTGCAGTTCCCAAATGTCCCGTTTCTTTCTTAGAAAGGAGTTTCACAGTGTCTGGAGCACTTGGTAGGTGGCAGCTGGCTTGTGCACTGCTTGTCTGCAGGGCACGATTTTTTTCTTTACAGCCACGTTTCCTGGGATGCTATGGCTGGGAGGAAGGGAAAGGCTGGAAGAAATGAGTAAATGCCAGCTTCCAGAGCCTGACTGTCTTTCCAAATGTTGCCCCAATTCTGCAGGAACTGCTCTTTGTACTGTGGGTCTCGTGGTTTGTGTATTGCTACCACTGGTGAAGCAGGTCCTGGTGCGGAGTAGTTACTCTTCCTTCCTGCCCATGTGTATACAAGAGAGAAACCGTCCTTCTTGGCTCCTTGGATGTGGGAGAGGTGAAATACTGCTGTCAGCTCCAGGGCCATAAAGGGCCTCTGTGTGTTAGCCAGCTGCTGTGACTGTGCAAAACCCCCCTTTGGCTACTGGTCTCCCCCCCACTCAAAGTGGGCTGGAGAGTTAAACGTGGCGTGGCAGGCAGCTCACAGCACCGTAAGGGTGAAACTGCCCCAGGAAGGGAATGCTGAGGCTGGAAGGACCAAGTTTCCAGTTTTCAGGGCAGTGAATGAGCAGGCTAATGGTGTTGAGGGGATTGGTACTCTGGTGAAATGCTTCCATTTTGGTAGCAGGCTCGACAAAGAGCTGCCATGTGGTCTCCCAGATCCAGAGCTGAGTACATTTGTTTGACAACATTCTTCCCCGCATCCAGATGAACCTTTTTAAAATCTGGTTTACTGCTTAGCTGGATTACTTTGTCCACACTGACTTTATGGCATATTGTGGGTGGTTCCCTTTGAAGTCTTGGATCACTTGTAATTATGAGCATAAGCAGGGCTGCTGCAGCCCCTGGGGTGGGAAGCAGTGGCTGCTCCAGCGTGGTTGATAAATCAGGATTGGCCCACGTCCTGCATGTCCTTTCTCCAAGATGGTTTACCATGCTTGTGCAGGCCACATTGCTATGCATCTGAGGCATCAAATGCATCCAGCTGTACCCTGAAACCTTGCTTGCTGTCCAACCTTGAGCATCAGCTGCAGTGACAGGAGATATAATGCCAGTCCCCTGAGCAGCCTGTGGTCCCAGCTCTCCCACTCCATTGACCAGTAAGAAAACACATGCTTCCTGCACTGAATCCAAATGTAAATATTAACCTTGAGTATTTGCAATAGCTGCTTACTTTGGCAACTTGGGTAGTGGTGGGGAGGTGGTAGTTTCTGGTCCAGGAAGCAAAACCAGGTCAGTGTTTTGGCATTTTGGATATTTCTCAACAATACCTCACGGGCAGAACTTAGGGCAGCGGTGGCTGGGAGCAGGATGATTGTGGATCTCGTGCGCTCAAGCCCGCGGCTGCTGGGTCTCTGAAGTGCTGGCCACGCGTGGTAAGCTCAGAAGTGTCCTCTGGCAATTTTTTGGTGAGCTGTTCATTTCCATCTCTTCGGGCAGGACTTTAGCACTTGGCCCCAGAGCTGATTCATGCTCAGCTCCGGCATCAAAAGGGTCAGTCAGCCCGGGCAGCTGGTGATGGGTCACAGCAGCAGCTTGAATTCACAGCCTGGCTTGCTCACAGAACCAGGCTTTACGAGACCTCCCCAGCAAGGCAGCTGGTGCCTTTTGCTTCCCTCCTTTGCCATTGCTGCCCCCGAAACTCGGCTCAGATTTTCTCTCTCTGGCCAGGCTGTACAAAGATGCCTGTGGACACAGGCTCTGTTAGCAGCAGTCCGGGAGAATCAAAGCTCAAAGGCTTTTGTGTAGGGGACTTGCAAATGTGTGCTGAGAGTGCCTGTGCACTCTGCCTGGACAGGTAGGG